AAAAAAAAAAAAAAAAAAAAGAGGAGATATTTCTTCATTACCTGAGCAGCTATTAGCTTCTCATGCCTTAATCTTCTTTGTATTTTTTTTAAAAATGGCCGCACCATAGCTCAAGCGGTTAGATGCTGGCTTCCCACTGCGGCAGCCAAGATTCGAGCCCGGGTCTGGTCAAGCGGGATTTGTGGTGGACAAAGTGGTGCTGGGGCAGGTTTTCTCTGAGTACTTCGGTTTCCCCTGCCAATCTTCATTCCAATTGCTCCACAATCACCCTCACCTATCATCTGGGGCTGGTACAATAGGCCAGAAGTGGTCGTAGTTCAAGTCCCACCCCACTAGCATTAAAAAATTTTTTTTTTGTCTTTCATATACCAGACGATGGGTGAAGTCCAAAATAAGCCAAAAGAAGTACAAAAAAAAATATTCTTTCTAAAATTAATAACTTTAAAATTAAAATCTCTCAATTCCTAAAAAGGGTAGAACTGAAGTAGCCATAATGGATCCCTGGTATCACATACACATGACACAGTTTTCAACATATGTGAAACCTCTTGTTTTTCATTATCAAGTTAAATTTTCTACAAAACTCAACACTGAAGACCTCATAATTTCTGAAGCCAATCACTCCAACTCATCTATCATTAAAGACATACCCTACTTCCTGTATGAAGTCCTTGTGTTCTATCATTACATTTTTAAATTATGCCTTTCTTTGTGAAAAATGCACATGTAAATACATACTGTCAACTGTTTATCATCCATCAGTGGCTAAGTACATTTTGTTAAAGTGAATGGTATTTAACATAGTGAGAGGCTATGTTCACAGAATGGTGAAATAAACCCAGAAATACAGCAACTTTTGGTCAAATATTACAAGATTTCCAACATTCCAATGACTGCACACCGAACTCCAATGGAATGTAACCTACAAACAACATAACCTAACCAAAATTGTATGAAGTGTACACATAAACATTAGATGAATCTCCTTGCGGATCTACAATGTTCCTTTCATGATTTGCAACTAACAGATTTGAAAATTTTCGTACATAACCCCAAATAGTTTCTAAGATGACACACATATTACATCGATAATCTGCTAATAATGTTTGGAACTCTTTCCTCCTATGATGCTATTACTACTAGTAGTACTATTAGTAGTAATAATATCGTGACATAAAGATAATGTTATCATTATATAAAATGTGGAAAACGTGTTACCTTCTGAGAAAAATCTCTCAATGGGTGCAACCAGTTCACTAAGCGTTTGCAACCGTTCCTTGTCCAGAACTTCGGGGTAAGTAAGAACATCATGGTCAAATTCACCAAGGAAAAGGTTTTTCACAAAAGCAGATTTTTGCTGTTTCTTCTTTACTGACGGCGGTTCGGCAGTCTTACTCACATCTGGAACTACTTCTTGAGAAACATTGTGACTATAATTTTGTACTACTAACAGGGACAAATATGGCCTTGAAGTTCTTCTGAACACCAAATTCGTTGCCACGGGCATAAATACTAACTTCATAGAACCCATTTAAAAACACCAACCTCAAACAAATCCGAAGTACCTTCTCAGCACAACTTCGTCCACATTACCGAAAATATTCATACAGTTCGCCACTCGGAACCAAGGCTGCCAACAGTCCGATTGAAAAGAACTATCCATCGAGTAATCCAGGCTTTCCGTTATGCTTTAATTTTAATGCCAAAAAATAAGAATTCTAATTATTGTAATAATAAAATATTTCTCTATTGTTATTACACACAGGTATGAAACTCATAGGTTGATTAGTTCTATCTTCTGTGATATAAACCATGCAGTCCGATGAAAACTAACGTTTTGGAGGAAAGTCACCATCTTCTGGGTCGAAGCGTAGCCAAGCGCGAAACTAATATGCAGCTAGAATTTGCTTGGTGATACTCCGAAACGGTGGCTAACTTTCAAATGACTACACAGAGTTTTATTTTGGGAGACCGAACTCATCGTCTTCACCACGCCTGAGACTCCTTCAAAAACTATACAATCCATACCAAACCCATACGTTGGTCACTTGGCATTTGCCAAATTTGGCAGTCTTGATGATCGTGATCATTATGATCATGAGGATCATGCGAGCCGCAATCATTTAGCGCAAGGGTCACCAAACTACGGCCCACGGGCCACATGCGGCCCGCGATGTGATTTTATCCGGCCTGCGAAAGAATTGTGCAGAAGTGCGCCAATTGAACTAATTTTCCAGTGAGTACTGGTAGATGTGATTCCGAGCTTATTGACCTGACATATTATACTGCAGTTCGATGGCTTAGCTGTGGAAAGGTTATTTCACGCTTCTTTCAGCTCAGGAATGAAAATGATATATTTCTTACCAAAGAAAACCATCACGAACCACTTTTATCAGATACCAAGTGGCTTTGGAAATTAGCAGTTTTCCTGATCTGGTGAACCATATGAACCATTTTAATTTAAAGTTGCAGGGTGAAAATAACTTAATCTGTGATTTATTTGCACTTATCAAGGCATTCAGAGCAAAGTTAATACTTCTGGAAAGGCAAGTGAAAAATTGTAACTTTGTTCATATGCTATACTCGGCAGAGTTGCATAAAAAGGGTGAAGCAGAATTTCCTTCCTCGTTTGCAAATTTAGTCATTTTAGATTTGAAAGAACTATTTTCGAAGCGATTTGCTGATTTGGATTCCAGTGCTCAAGAAATTAGATTGTTTCAAAATCCATTTCATTCTGATGCTGCAGATGTCAAATTCAAATGGAAATTATTGAACTTCAGGAAAATTATCATATTAAAGACAAATACATGGAAGGAAATTTGATCGAATTTTATAAATTTCTGAACTCTGAGCAATTTCGAAATTTAAAGAAATTTGCTTGTAAATATATCTCCATTTTTGGGACGACATATCTGTGTGAATAAACTTTTTCCCAGATGAAATACATCAAGTCGAAATACAGGGCAAATTTATCCGATGAACATTTAAAAGACGCTACTTGTGATTAGCGTTTCAACATTTGAACCTCAATTTAATCAGATTTTAAGAATGCAAAAAGAGTTCCATCATTCACATTGTTTTATTATAATTTGTAATGAAAATATGAGCATTTGCTGCTACTCTCTGTTGTCATTAATATACGATAATTTATTCTCACGTACTTTGTATTTAGTTTATGAAATTCTATGCTTTCAATAAAACTCATATAACTAGAGTTATTAATTTCTCATTTTATCCGGCCTGTTGAAAGTGCTGAATTACCTAATGTGGCCCGCGGTTCGAAAGGTTTGGAGATCACCTGATTTAGTGCATTGGTAACAGCTCCCAACAAAGTAGCATCAACTTCCGTGTCCATCATCTCTTGGCTTTGCTGGAAGGCACCTCTCAACTGCAGATCCCAAGATACGCAGACCACACAAAAAAATGTCGATTCCAACAATTCCACCATTGTTGCATGTGTATGTTGCTCAGTAATGGCTCTGGTATTGCTGAGTGTTTACACGGCCGTTTCCTAGCAATGATCGTTTCTCTGGCGCCCTCATTCTAGCAGTCAGGCCTCATGTCATAATATATTGTGACGTGCTGCGCTATGGAGGACAAGCCCCCCCTCTTCCCAGCGGTGACGTGGCGGAATCGGAGCGCTGTCGTTACTAGCGTAACAGGCAAGTCAATACTTATTCCCCTACCCCGCCAGCGGTGACGTGACCAAGGGATGCCGCGGTTGCTATGCAGCCGTAAACAACTCCCGACAGCGTTGCCAGTAACACCTGTAAACATGGCGACTAGGCTACAAGGAAGCAAGGCGTTTCCTGTTGTCCGGCTGAGGGTTTATAAGGGAACTACACAGCCGCCGAAGACAGTTCTCAAGGCAGCAGCCTACGAAGCAAGTTGGAGTATAGCAGCAGTCGCGGAAAGAAGAACCAGATGCGTGTGTAATACAGAGAGACTTGTATAGCTCCCGCACTGTGAATACCTGTAGACTACTGAGGACAGTGTGAAGAGATTTGTGTGTAGGGTTTGTAAAGTGTGGAAACCCCTAACATTGTTATAATTAATTGTAGCCGAGACTTGTAGGTTGTTAAATAAACCCATTAGCAATCTGAATGTCATCTTCAGTAACAAAACACGTTACAATATTTTAATCTGAAGGTTTTTAATTAGCAGGTGAGAACATAAAAGATTCTGATCCCAATGGTAGGAATGGTATAATTTTGATTTATGAGCATTTTTTACAGCTGTTTGAACTTTGTCACATTTTCAAATTATCCATAAGCTATTTTATTTTATGATTTTATCCTGCATTCTGGTGATGAGACATCCTTCTCTGTGTTTACTTCTAGGTCAACTTTTTCAGAACTTCACAATAATACAGTCTTTAAGACTGTGACAATCACAACCAGTGTCGAAATTACTAAAGCAACTGTGTTTACATTGTTTGATAACGTATTTTGATGGCTGCTAATTAATGGTCATGATCTGAAATCAGCAAAACTTTATTCATATTTAGAAAAAGGCATAAAATACGAGGGCCTGTTAAATATGTTACCAAAGGTGGCCAGTTGTTTTGTCTTTGCTGCCAAGCTAGTCCTGCATGCGTGTTACTCAAGAATGGTTGATGAATAATACCATTTACTGGCAAACTGAGTGGTTGCAGCAACATGGTACCCACATCAAGACACTGCAGGAAACAACTGTCATACGGCTTGTAACAGAGACTGCCATCCTAGTCACCTAAATATAAGGCAGGAAAACAATTCACTGATAAACTCCAATGGATGTCTTCCCTGTACATAGCAATTTACCAATCACAAACTCTGCTCTAAGTTCCCATTCCTTTATGATTTCACACACACTGGAAACTGGTGACCTCCTCTTTTAATTTTTCTTCATTGTTGTTGAAAAGATCTATTCTTCTTCCGGTGGTGAAATGTGGTAAATTTAGGAAATTAAACCAAAATTAACGGCCGTGGGGATTCCTTGCACTGACCACGTGACACCCTCTAAAGTTGGCACTAACTTCGCCAACAAGTGGCGGTCGCTTACTCGGTCGGTATGGTTCGCTTGCAGACTAAAACCATGTAGTTATTTTTTTAAATATATTTTTGTATCAGGAACTGCAATGTCTACAACTGTGCTTAAGCAGTCTTTTATTATTTCCCCATTACTAAAGGGATTAATTTTGTCTTGGTGGGAGGGGGACTAAACTTTCAGAAACTACAAAATTAGCATGACTACAGCATTTCATTGTAATGACGCACCTAAGAATAATTTTTGTTATATACAATACTTGTGAAGCTGGTTTATTTTGTCTTTCCATGACTGGGCTTGTAAGCTACTTAAATGTGAAATGTGCTTTGTTTCATAATGCCCATTAATACTGTATTCTTTGAAATGACAGTCTTCCATCACGAATGAGACAAACAGCAACATCCTTAACATAAAGATGTATACATTAGTCCACTCACTTTGAAACATGATTTTCATCAGACACCGTTTTCTTCTTGGTAGCAGCCACAGCAGGGGTTTATACTGTGACATGTTGCGCAACGGAGGACCCCTACCTCCCCAGCAGCACATGGCAGTAACGTAGTGCTCTCGTTACAACGGTAATAGGCGAGTCATCACCCCGCCACTCTCCCCACGGTGACATAATGCACAACGCGCGGTGACGTACCGAGCGGAGCCGAAGTGAGCCGAGTCCCAGCACACTGGTCGCTATGCAACGCGGATAAACAGTGGTTGCAATAGACTACGGTCTCAACAGTGATGCCTACCATGTGGTTGTTTTCTCGTTGCCCTGCTGAGGGTTTATAAGGGAGCTACACAGCTGCCGACAACAGTTCTCAGTTCACAAGTTACGAGTTACAGACGCGTGTGCGAGAATCAGTGATAGTTCGTGATAACCGAGTGTATTTGGAGTGTGTAACTCAGAGAGATTTGTATAGCTCTCGCGTTATTAATACGCGAAGACTCTTGAAGATAGTGTGAAGAGATTTGGTTGTACGGTTTGTAAACTGTGAAACCCGCAACTGTGTTGTAATTAATTGTAGCTGTGATTTGTAGGCTGTTAAATAAACCAATCATGTTACAATATTTTATTTATAAAACATGAAAGAAAAATATTAATGTACTTAGACTGAATTAAATATCAAAAGGACAAACACAACTGATTCAAATGGCTTGCAGTGGTGTGCCCAATAGCTGACTTGCCATCCCCTTCATCTCTATGTTAAACATAGCATGTGATTGAAAGCATTCATAGATGCCATAGCACAGGAATCAGAAACACATAATTAGCAATAAAACCAAATATTGTTAATAGCTATTTTTTAAATATTGCAGCTTTTGTTTAAATTGCATTTTAGTATTTTAAACATATTGCCAAGAGGTATTATTAGTATTTGAGTGTTAATGTTTGTGCTGTGCTCCGCTTGTGCTCTGCTGACATTGCTTTAGCCTAGTGTTGTGAGTTCGGCTCCTATGATGACTGCCAACAGGGATGTTTACCTGCTGTGCACAAAGACGTTTTATGGGAAACAGAAATTTCATATGTGCTGTGGGCCTTGTGCCTCTGCTTTCAGCCAAGCTGCCTCTGGTTAGTGAAGCAGAATATGCCTACTATATGCATTCTGGAGCCTCCACTTACAAGTGTGCTGTCTGTGTTAAAACCTTGCAGTCTGAAAGGAACAATGACATGCTGGTGAAGTGATGTTCCTTGTATATGTCAGATCATCCCAAGAAAATCAGTTCACCTGAGAAGGAACTACTTTTGCCTCCAGGTTTTGTTAGCAACAAATATGAGGTGCGTAGCTTCCAGCTGGAGACAGTACATCTCAATGCAATCTTCACACTCGACCTCATTACCCCCCCCCCAAAAATGACCAAACAGTCTACCCTTTGGTCTGAAAATGTATCAGTAATCCCTTCTTCCGCTTCCACTTACAAGACAAATCTGTCATACTTATCATAAGGTTATAGTCAGCTATTTAAATGCATTCATATCAACACTCTGTATAATGACATCTTGCCCAGCTAAGTTTACGAATTCTCTTTATTGTGTCTGACAGTTTTACACATAACCTTTAAAGTTATGTTTAACATCACTCTCAACTCTTAGTTCCAACAACTGCAAAGAGACAAAGAAAACAAACCTAACACAAAGGAAGAAAATGTTTGAACTGCCAAGAAAAGAACAGATTATGCAAATATATTTGGCAGAGTGCTTTCTTCAAGACTCGTTTGAAATGTCTGTACACAGGAATAAGTGACAAAGCTTTGAATGAGCACAATGTTCATGGAAATACCAACAAAAAACCAGAATTCTCCTAACTTTAGTAATAAATAATCAGATAATTCTGTTTCAGGTCTTCATATAAACATGATGAAATATTTCACCTTCAATAACTAATGAAAGAAGATCACTTTTTTTTTAGGAATGACAGTAGCTTCACTGGTGCTCCTATTATATTTGGCTAAACAAATATGATTATATTGGTACACACCGGCTCATTTATAGTTACACTGTAACAATTCGATAACTAATCATTCACAAAATGTCTTACTTCTTTCTTTAGTGTTTTAGTTTTAAAGCAAATCAATGTAAATAAAGCACTATTAAACAATCATGAATGCCATAAAATCTGTTGCAACAAATGAATATCTTGACACATTAAAATTATCATATAACACAGTGTAACTAAAATTATTTAAATTTTATATTGAACTGAGTGTGATTTATGGAAGGAGAAGCTGAACACTAGACTGCTTTTCCTTACAGTAAGTCAACAGCTCCAGAAAGACCATTATAATGAACCTTCTTGCTAGTAGTCCTTCATCAATGTCAAAATCAAGAAGTATCACTTATCTCTGCAGTCTTAATTCTGCTCCACATAAATTTCTTGTCATATCTCTAAAAGAATGTCTCATTTCCTTGAAGTATGCATACACATACATTGACACAGTTTCACTCAATGGAGATGCTTGTGCATATCACTGGACACAATTCTGGCTATCAATTTCATTTTTTTGCCAATTCATTTGACAGCCAGTCCAAACCTTCATACAAGCCATGCCCCTGGGTAGCACAGGTAGCCTGAATGTACCACTGAAATGAAAATAAAGCTTATCAGTGATATTGTCTCAATCAGCATGTACATGACTTGAGGCATGATTAATTTTTCACGACAGATTCTATGTGAAGTCTGTTAGAATTTAGCGACATCAGGATAATTACAGATTGAGTGTGCAATGTGCCTTATGGAATCATAAATGAAGCAGAAACAAAGGCATCTTACTCATAAAAGCAAAAATTATACAAAAAAAACTTAAAATTATCATCCAATAAAACAAAATACAATAATGTCTCCTTCTTTATTACACTATAGCTGCTTCCTGCAACTTTTTGTCTCTAAAAGTCACCACTCTACTGTCAGAATTAAGCACCAATCAAGTTACAAATAATTTCAATTTTAGTGTGGCACATCTAAGCATAGATGGATGTTATTACAATTAAATTTTTTATTGCATTTGTGTTCCTTTCCATCATCTGTTCTTCATGACTATTCAATTATATCCCCCATAAATCTTTCACAATGTTGAACTCCATATAGAGGTAATGTGTTTCTCTGTATTGTGAAAATTATAAGTCACTTACACGACGATTACGCAGCTGGTTAAGTCCCAGTTTGTCTGTAAGCTCAGCAGCACTCATTGCATTAGGCAAGTCCTGCTTATTTGCAAATAACAAGAGAACTGCATCACGGAGTTCATCCTCTTGAAGCTGTGAACAATACTTGCATTAAAATGAAGATTACATTCACAACAGAGGGACTGTTTACATAGCACCTTTAATTATTCACTTCAATATAAAAAAAACTGCATGTGTAATACAGTACAATTTTACACAGTTTCTGCAGAAGCAGGACATAAGAATGTGAGAAATTTGTTATGGATGAATCATATTGTAACAAATACCCAAGGAATGCTCTTTCTTGGACACTGCTCCTTCACAGCGTCAAAAAGCATGGATTTGCAATTTAGATCTTATTGGTAGGGATTCTGCCAAGGATATTACTACAAAAGAAGAAGAGGTCAAGACTAGACCAAACAGTGTGAAAATGAAATTCCACAAGTAAATGTGGGAAAAATCACAGCTGCTAATGCACCTTAAAATCCACTTACACAAGTGAGAACAGGGCTATCAACAGAATTGTGGCACACGGGAGATAAGGAAACTTTCTGAGTCTCTATTTCCAAATCATCTTTGTCTAGAACTTGTGTCACATTGCCAACCATAATACTCTGAAAACACAACTCAGGAATACTATCACAAACTGTCAAAAACATTTGGATAATTTATTGTCTGCTAGAAAGCGGCTTGATGGCTTTAAAGAAAATGGCAGGACTGGACCACTCCATGAACCCTAAGGCACTTGTAACATCCAAATACCATCTGGATGACTGTTTATCAGTTGGGCTCAAATCTTCAATGAAATATGTAATTTTGTTTGAATTACATAGAAGTCATAACCGGCACCTACAGAATGTGTTACAGTAGTTAAAGCATATTATTCATTGAAGAGTCGTGTCTTCTCGGACACAACACCATGTAGTCCACTGAAAGTCAACCAGTGTTTCAGAGGAACAACTCGTCTCCAGCTTCAGGGTCAAAGAATAAGCCAAGCAAAAAACCAGTATGAAGAAGGTAGCAAGCAGAGCGAGGGCTCTTCATAACCACTACTGTGAGAGCCTCAAATCCTGCATATTATTCATTATTAATAATGGGAATTAGAGTCTGTGAAAAATGAATGTGGAAAGCAAAGAAAAATAAGACAATGAGTATAAAGTTGTCAAAAGATATTGGAAGAATGATATTGTAACATGTTGCGCGACTGAGAACCCCCCTCCCCCCTACAATATTATTCTAGAGATGTGGCCTCTAATGCTGTGTGCCTAGTATGTGATAATACAGCTTCCTTATACAGTCAACTCTCGATTATCCGGGCTAATGGTGGGGATGNTCAATCAGAAACATACTTCATTTCAAAGTATGTATATATCTTGTGCCAAACTATTGTGTGTAAGCAAGGGAAGGTAAGAAACTGATGTCAAGTTGGGAAGGGGGATTTATGTTGCAGAACAAGATGCAGGCAGAGGCGACTAGAGCAAGTGTTTTATGTTATATAACATTGCAAAGCCCAATAAACCACTTTCAGACAGCAAATATGTGAAAGGGTATATGCTGGATGTAGATGATGCAGTTTGTAAAATGGATGTAGATCATGTCGAAAAATAAAAACGGTGACATGCTGACATTCAAACACCTCTCAATAGCTCTGGATAACAGTAATAATGGAACATACCTAGATCTCTAATACTTATATAAGATTTAAATGATACCCCTGACATCATTACTGAATTACTTTTCATGGAAGCTACACCAGTGAACAGCTATACAAAAGGCTGCCAGCGTGTAATGTACAGCTGTTGTGAGAAAAGTTCATCACTGTAAAATGAGACAGATCATTTAACTTTAAAAGCAACAATACAGACCTCTACAAAAGGATGAAACATACAGTGAATAAAAAATGTCATCAGAAAATACTGTTCTTGCACTAAATGACTTATCATAAGGTACTATGAAAAACTATTGTCTCCATGAATAATGTTACAAGCATAAATGTAAAACTTGGGAATTTCACATTCATTCTTCTGAGTCCCACTGTCTCTCATTTTATATGGCCACATTATATCTGCCCATCAAATTCATTTGCCGGTCAACTTCTAACCATTCATCTTTATCCATCTGAAAGTTCATCCAAGCATGTGTCCATCTACTTTCCCCCAATTGCAGCTCCTGAGCTCTGTCTGACCCTGATGAAATTTTATAAACAGAACAAGCCAGGACAGCTCAGTCTGTACAGTGGCTGGATGACTGGTGTATGATTCCTGGCAGGGGAAGGGGTATCTATTTTCAGCATTATGTTCAGACCAGGTCTGAGGCCCACTCAATTTTCTGCTTAATGGATACTGAGGGTTCTACCAACAAGATGAAGCAGTCAAAGTATGGGGATGACCATTCACCTATACCTAGTGTCAATGTTGAGAATGTGTGATGCTGGGTTTCCTTCAGACAGAAATTATACATATTAACGAGATTTATACATTTTATGTTTCATGTCTCAAACAATGAATCATTTTGAGAAACTTGACACTAGGTTATAACAAATCTGGATTTTAACACATTGAGGACCGGTCGCATGATATCATGCTTTTGGCTTTTAAACATGGTGGACCGGTCGCATGATATCATGATTTTAGGACACGTTAGGTTGCAGCACACTATACCTTGCTCTGGCACCACCCAAGTTGCACACAATGGCATAATAAAACTCTGGAATGTTTGCTTACTTGTCAGTAACTTGATCTCGCTGTGTTCTTAACCCACTATAAACGAAAATTCTTTGCTGCTCAGTAGTCAGTGGTGGGGTATGGACAAGGACAAATTATTCTCCGATGAGCTAGATGGCCTGCCTTGTGAGACGCGTAGTCATGGGGATTCAGTGAGCGGCAGTGACAGGGGAGAACAAAGAATTGTGGCCACAGACAGTAGAAGTGACAGTAGCTCTGACGATAATGGGGGTAATAACATTGCGGGGACAGCAAATAATCTAAAATAATCACAAAACTCTAAACCCTGATTCGAAATTGAAATACAAAGCATTTCTGATGAATGTGGCAAAGGCCTGGGCCCCCCAGGGCGACTCTCGGGTGATATGCGGAAACATACCCTCCTAAAAATTGTGAAGAGTGAACATTCCAAGCCTTCTGGGTAATGCCGTGTTTGCATGGTTCACAAAAAAAGGAGTGTCTACAGTTGCAAGTTCTGTGTAATGCCACTTCACAAAGGGGAATGTTTCCAGAAATATCACACCCTCAAGCACTTCTAGGAGCACTGGTCGGTGTTCTCCAAAAATTTTGGTTCATAGAATTAATTAGGAGATTTTATATTGATTTTTAAAGTGAACAGTGCACAAGATAGGATACTAGGTATAATAATGGTGGCCCCAGGGTGAGTTAAATATTTAAATCACCAGTCCGCAATGTGTTAAGCATACATCTATTCACCTAACAGCTCTAATCATGACAGGTAAATTAATGGGCAACAGTGGCATTTCAAGTCAGCATAATTATATAATAAACATTTCCAACATTAGTCTGCATTCAAAGAAATGTATGAAGGGGGACCCAAAAATAGCCAGAAACGACCTGTTGCGCGCGCATGCTTTGTAGTTACGAGTTGTGCTGCTAGGTGGTGTTAGCTGGGGGTCTCCTGCGACTGTTAGTGAGCTGGTGTCAGTCTGAGTTAAGTGGTTTGTCTGTGGTGCTCTGTTGTGTGCGTTCCTGTTTCAACCCTTTGGCAATTAGTGAGATGGCCGACCAGAAGGAACAAAGAGTGTGCGTGAAATTTTGCTTTCTGTTAGGGAAAACTGCACTTCACTCTTCAAGTCACAGCAAACATTCACGCGGTTTTCTCTTTGGTCATCTCCGAGCAAGCGAGGAACAAATTTTGCAGACACCCGTCTCATGTGCAAACCTTCGGTTAAAATTCGATAGACCATGCTCCATGAGATGTTCGTTTCCTCAGAAAGTTGGTCAATGGTCTTTTGACGATCTTCATCAATTTCACGCACACTCTTTGTTCCTTCTGGTCGGCCATCTCACTAATCGCCAAAGGGTTGAAACAGGAACGCACACAACAGAGCACCAGAGACAAACCACTTAACTCAGACTGACGCCAGCTCACTAACAGTCGCGGGAGACCCCCAGCTAACACCATCTAGCAGCACAACTCGTAACTACAAAGCATGCGCGCGCAACAGGTCGTTTCCGGTTATTTTTGGGTCCCCCCTCGTATTTCCTTCACACTTGCAATTAAAACCTTTACCATATTCTGAAGTTCCTTTTCTGCTTCAGTAATCCTCTCTCTGTCATTAGAATCTACTACAAATATCAGTCCCTGAGTATTCTGAAAATAGTGCCTCCAGAGTGGCCTGATCTTTCCTTGTCCACCAACATCCCATACAGTGAAGCATATGTTTTTATACTCCACAGTCTCAACATTGAAACCTGCAAACATAACAAAATCATTTGATCAGACCGGCACCAGTCAGAGAGAAGAGTAAAACCCATCTAATCTGAAACTTAAGCAGAAAAAAACTGTAAGCCTACTTCAGATTGAATACAACATCAACGAACGATTATCAGAATAGAATAAGACATCCGCCCATGCAATACCAGTCTCTTAATATTATTCCTTCCACATTGCCAAATGAACTATTCTAATCAAATTTCTTTTTCTGTCATACAGTACAGCTTGTGATTCATAATGATGTTCAAAATATTGGCAAAGGTAGGCTCATAAGCACAGATAAGTAATTCCAACTGACAAATACTGGTGAAAAGAACTTCACCTTTGACAAGGAACAAAGATGACTATGAACTAAAGTAATCTTAGGAGTAATCACCATAAATTCACTAGGACCTACCAAACAAAGCCTTGTATACTGATTATCTGTGCTGAACAATCTTAAAAATGTGAAAGAATACAAACACTAAGATTACTGTACAGGGTGCTACTAAGGACACCTATGGTAATATAAAGAAAATAAACTACTAAGGACACCTATGGTAATATAAAGAAAATAAAAGTATTCATATGTTAGCAGGAGGGCCAAATAACTTTAAAATTTAGAGGCATGTCATCTGCCACATTAGTGCTGCCAACCTTGAAAATATATTTGTAAAAAGACCCTAAATTTGACCTTAAAATTTGCATTTAACAAGTCTATAATGTTAGAATTTTGGTTTTGTTTTTAAAGAAATAGATTTTCGATTGTTTCTAAAAAAATATCTTAAAACCTTTAAGGTCAGGTTTTGGGTTTTGGTTGTACAATAAATTTCTAAGGTTGGCAGCATTAATGTGGAAGACAACATTGTGGTCTACAGGATGTCGGGATGAAAGGCATCCAAAATAAAAATTTATACCTCGGAAACTAATTGTCATACACATATCACGTTTATGTCATTGGAAAGGAAAACTCTGAAGGTTTTATTTTCATGCCTGGCTTACGCATATGTGCCAGCTGGAGACCTTCGCCAAGCTCAGTAAAAATGTTGACACAACAGGAACAGTTTCAATGTGTGTTGTAGTTTCTTACGGGTATCAGTGTCATTTTAGAAAGCAATATGGACATCAACCTCCTATATGGAAAAACATTTGGTTCTGGGACAACAAACTGAGGACTACAAGTAGTCTGTTGCTTGTAAAATCTCCTGGAAAGACATGGACTTCTGAAGAAAATGTCAAACCCATTAGCGAGGCATTCCAGCGAACTGCATGCCAATCAATTTTGTGCTGCTAACTTGCAGTTACGTACAAATTCTCCATTCAACAGGTAATGATGTGCTATACAAAAGGCTCCACCCAAGAGCGTACAAGATTCAAATCATTCATGCACTAAAACTGAGTGACCAAGTAGCATGCACTAACTTCAGCGCGAACAGGCTAGAAATAATTAACGTGTCACCCTATTTCCTCTGCCAAATGTGCTTCTCAGACGAGGCAACATTTCATGTCAATGGAGTTGTAAACAGGTACAACTGCAGCATTTGGGGCAGTAAAAATCCACATGTCATGTGTGTTGGAGAGAGGCAGCCCCAAAGTGAATATGTGGGTACGCTTAATGCACGACAAGTTGAGTGGACCGTTTTTCTTTTCAGAAGAGACTGTGACCAGATGTTCGTACTTGGACATGCTGGAACTGTATGCCCTGCCACATTAGGAATCACCTGGACAGGGAGATGGCTGGCAGACGGATTTTTTCTTGCGGTGTTATATGAAGAACATTGTCTACCAGGTTAAGATCAACAACCTTCAGCACCAGAAAAACCTCATAAGGGATGCAGTGGCTACTGTAACACCAAACAGGCTTCAAGAAACATGGAATGAGATCAAATATCATTTGGATATTTGTTGTGCCACCAAGGGTGCCCACATTGAACTTTACTGAGAGAGCTCTATACTCAGGGGAAAAAAAAAAAACTCTGGTAGTTTCCCTTTGTAATGGTGTAACCCACAAATGTATATAATAAATGCTTTCTGAGATATAATTATTTTATTTTGGATACCTTTCATCCAGACACCCTAAATTTCATAGTTACATGGGTCACCTCTTAATACATAAGTACCAAATAAAGTTCAACACTTCATAATTGTCAGGACTGCATCCATGAAAATTAGATGATGGGCTATAAAATTTAGCAAATAACACTGGTTCAATCAGCATCATAAAAGTTACAAGAATTAAGACATTTCAGTTAAATAGAATTATAAATTAAGACACCTGTAATGGAAACACGACTGCTATAATTCTGATACAAAATAGAACATCCTTAATCATTAGTTATACTGTACTTACCAAACCTATTTTTTACTAACGTATCCGTCAATAATACAACTTTAAAAGGACATTAGGAATATGTTGTTCACTAAAAATGCATTTTAATACTACGACAGTTCAAATCAATAAAATACCCGTAGGTCTTCATTCAGTACCTAAATTTACACATTAAAAGTGAATTTTCACACTCCTCAAATTGTCTTTGTTTTACATGTATTTTTACTAATTTATAATCACAACATGTTTCGGGCCTCATTGGGCCATCATCAGGTGAATTCTATCCTCGAGTGAGACCACTGCACTGTATTTGTTCCTCGTGCTTCTCTCGTGCACGTCTTTATTTTACTTCATGCTAGTTGTTAAATTTCATTTTTATCCAGCTATTTTGCGGCTGTTATCAGTTTGTTGTTGTGTTTCCCTATGTCAGTGACATAGGGAAACACGGCAACAAACTGTCAGTGACACTGACATAGGGAAACACGACAAACTGATAACAGCCGAAAAATAGCTGGATAAAAATGAAATGTAACAACTAGCATGAAGTAAAATAAAGACGTGCACGAGAGAAGCACGAGGAACAAATACAGTGCAGTGGTCTCACTCGAGGATAGAATTCACCTGATGATGGCCCAATGAGGCCGAAACATGTTGTGAATATAAATTACTAAAATTACATGTAAAACCAAGACAATCTGAGGAGTGCGAATATTCACTTTTAATGTGTAAATTTATGTACTACGTAAAGGTCTATGGGCATTTTATTGATTTGAACTGTCATAGTACTAAAATGCATTTTTAGTGAACAACATATTCCTATGTATTTTTAAAGTTGTATTATTGATGGATACGTTAGTAAAAAAATAGGATGATGCCTCGATACAACGGGATGCTGAAATATAATGTACTTACCAATAGTTGGAATGGTGGTAACTATTTCTCCTAGCTTCAACTTATACAAAATTGTTGTCTTTCCTGCTGCATCAAGGCCAACTACAAGGAAAACAAAGAACTTGATATACTTCAATTTCCAGGCAAACAATTAGATTTCTCTGCTCTAAATACCCACACAAATTAAGTACAACAGTTCTAAATAAAAGCCCCACTCTACCATGACATATAATATATCTGCTGTACAATAAGAAAAGTATTTTGACTTTCACTGGCAACATACATGGCTATCAAAACAGCTAATACTACCAAAACTGGATGACTTCCTATTGCTATCACAATATACCATAAAGAAAACACAGCTGAAAATTACGTATTTCACATTATAAAACACGTTACAACATAACTAGGAACAGTGCTGCAAATACCGAAGAATACAGTAGTTCAATGTAGTGTAGTTCCCGTACTTATCTTGAACACTACTGTTCTATGGGATGTGATGCCACACAATTTGCCAATAATGTGGATAAACCCGCAGTCCCCATCTTCAGGGTAGAAGAGTATGCTAACTGTAGAAAAATGGTATGGATACAATATGAGCGAGGGAACTGGGAGCACGGCTAAGAGTGAACCAGCTCGAGGAAGAACAGTGTGAAGAACACTAGAGGGCCATTTTCCAAGGGAGGAGTGAATGGTAGAAAATGGCCCAGACTGAACAAAGAGGGGGTACAGGGGAGTCAGGAGAAACATACTAAGTACACAGTGGCATTTCAACGGACCTTTTACAAATATAGGAGATAAGATAAACCACTAAGAGGTGCAAAATTAAAGAGAAGAATAAAGTGGAAGAATGAAGATGTGGAGGAGAGAAAAATCAAATAAACAAAAGTAGTATCTGAATGACACAAAAGGAGGTGGAGAGGAGGAGAACAGAGCAAAGAACAGTAGGCCTTTAAAAAGAACAATTTCCACAGGAAGAGTGAATGTAAGGAGACAAAACATTAACATGAGCTGACTCAAAAAGTAGAACAGGGAGAGAAAAAAACAAACTAAAGAATCTTTGCCCTTGGGAAAAGAGACCCTTTAAAGGACCAATAATCTTTTACACTGTTCTCCTTATGCCTACCAGATCTCTGAGGGCCCCCTGGTCCTCATCTTCCCTTTCTTTACATCTTCACCATCTTTTCATACTCAGGAAATTTTTCACCCTTAAAATGGAGGCAGCATATTTTTCCAAAACACTCGTAATGATCTATTACACCACAAAGTCTCATATCCCAGAAGGTGGTAATTTTCATACTCACTGCCACAAGTACCTCAAATCTCATAAGGACTTTTCTGTTTCTGTGTTAATTTCTTTTTCTCTTTACAGTATTTCTTATTGCACATTCCAACCACGAGGAGGAGAGATCACTTTCTTCACTGATTATTCAGAACATGTGAACAGTACAACATGACCACATCCATAATTTATATAGCTAGGAATTAACAAGCTGATCACAGTGACCATGCGGTCTAAGGCATGAACTGTCTTCGCCTGCTCAAACACTGGGATCGTCTGTGGATGTCTATGTGCATTTATTCTATGTTTTTGCTGTCCTGTGTGTGCAGCCTTGCGATGGGCTGATCCCCCGTTTAAGGAGTCATACTGACTGTGTGAAAGATCATGAAACTGTAAAGCGGCCAAGGTCCAACAAAGGACTGTAGATACATAGATAGATAGTTCATGGAAAGTTAAGTCTGTTTCTGACACACAAACAAAATTATTTACTTGAAAGTTGTCTAAATTTGTGTTCCACACTTCTAAATTGTTTGGGTTTGTGTTGTCTATGCTGTCATTAGAAGCTGCCTTCTCATCAGAGGTCTGGGTTTGATTTTGGAGATGTGAGATTCATGGTGAATAAGGTGACTTTGGAGAATGGGGTTTTCCACCAGGTCATCACAATATTATCGTAAAAGATCTAAGCTCCACATATGGTTCAGGAGAATACACTTCTCTTCATATAACAGGTATACATCAATAATGAATATTCTATCATGCATGCCATGGCATGACATGACCTAAATCTATACTGTACCACTCTATGTGGGCAACCAACATATTGTGACATGATGATCCCTACCGCCCCAGCTCCACGTAGCGGTAACTTAGCGTTCGCGTAACAGGCAAGTAATCACCCCGCAATGCTAATCAACAGCGGTGACGTCATGCGCAGTGACGTCATGAGCGGAGCCGAAGAGAGCCGAGCGGAGCCGAAGACAGCCGAGCCCCCGTAACCTGGTAACTATGCAATGCTAATCAACAGCGGTGGCGTCACACTAGCAACAGCGAAAGGCTATATAAGTGGACTCCACAGCCGTCGAAGACTGTTCAGAGTTGTATTGTGGCAGTTGAAACATAGCAGCCTGCGCGTGTGCGACAACTAAGAAGTCAGCGAGCGGAAGACTTATTGTGTGCTTTCCAGACATAGTGATTGCTGTAGTACAGTTATACTCGGAGTGTGTATTTCAGGGAGACTTGCATAGCTCCCGCGTTATCAGTACGTGAAGACAAGTGAAGATTGTGTTAAGAGATTTGTTGTAGGGTTTGTAAAGTGTGGAAACCCGTAATATTGTGATCATTAATTATAGCCGTTATTTGTAGATTGTTCAATAAACCAGTTAACGATCTCTACGGCGTATTCTGTAACGTAAACACGTTACAATATGAAGAACACATTCTGCTAGTGGGGTGGGACTAAGTCCCTTGTACTGCGGCCACTTCTGGCCTATTGTACCAAAGAACACATTACTGTCATGTGATAATTGAATAATGCTCTACATTGTGTGCAACTATACCCCAATCCTGCATACTGACCAATATCATCTACATAAGTATAGAACAGAGTGCCCCTTCCTCACATAACACATCCATTGCAGTGCCATGCTGGTATATACTAGGAAATTGAAGGAAACTGTAACATAATCTAAAACCACCTAACCACTGTTATCTGAGCTATATCTTGGCGTGTGAAGTCGTGCTTCTGTCACATTTCTCCCCAGATATTTCTTGCCCATATGCATTTGCATGCATGGTGATAACTGGTGCGTCCAAATCCTGGATGCTCACTAACAGAATTCATTTATGTGCCTCAGAAATGGCATCTTCTGTATTAAAGTTTGTGCTGATGAGAAATAACTGTCAAAACTTTATATCAATATACACAACATATACAACATACATTTTCATAGACTTTCAGTGTACCATACATAAAAAAAAATCTATCATTTGTTAGTTTATGGGGCATATTTTTGAGGTGTCGTGAAGCACACGATGGTACCATTCACCATGTTGTTTCACAAAATAAAGTAAAATTATGAATAACCAAATGCCACTCATTTAAAGTTTTCTTTTTGTGGAGCTTGTTCTAAATTAAATACTTGATGCTTCCCACATCTCAGTACTTTCTGCTAATGCTGTGATAGTGCCTATTTCACATCTTTCTCCTATTCAGCTTTCCATGCTGCATGCGCTAAGGCACGGCACATTATGAACTTCACGACTTATGAATCAACAGCAATACTGCAACGCCCTTCAGTTCACTCCCTAACCTTAACTGCTCATGGGCTTTAAAATTACTTTCTATCAGTACCATATCGGAAAGTCGTTCATATTTTTAGTGTTTACGTGTATTCTTCCGCCATTCTACTGAAATCATTATTAACATACACTTACCCATCAAAATTCTCATTTGCTTCTTCCCAAACAGCCGTGTCAGAACACTAGAAATTGTCAAACCCATGATTATGCCGGCAATGTTACTACGCCACTTACAAACCCTAATATATATACACAAAATCAAGTTACACAACTAGGAACAAGACTCCCTAATACACCTGCAATTCAATAAATATCACGCTTCTGCCACGTCAATTTGACCCATGTATTCTCCCATTGAGCTACGTCACTAACGCGAATCTGTCACTATCGTCACTGTTTTAGTAGTAACAAATGTTCCCATAAAAACAAACCAAACTGGCCAGAAATGTTTGTGGCCCTTGCCTGAAGTATCAGTTCCGTGAAATGATTTATTTAAATCACACAAACACTGTTTATTTATTTCAATATAATCTTCAAACACCGTTAAGCCTAAATTTGCATGTGGGTATCAAACTACATTAGCCCCACCACCTATCTTCAGGCTTCAAACACCTTGAACTTCAGTGCTACCAATGTGGACCATTGTAACATCGGCAAAAAGCGTGATCGTTGGTTTTCTACACGCTTGTAGGATTGACGTGTGTGAAATAACGTGTTCATGTAATATTGTAGACGGATTGCATACCAGCAATACCTACAATGTCGCAATATGAATGAAACATACCAGGAAATGCTTCTCAGAGGGGCTTTCCGACATATAAATTTCCTACAACCGCAAGGTAAAGGTAAAATTATCACTGGGCGTAATGAAGGCTTATGGGGGAGTGAAGTTAGAGCTCCACCATTCTTGACCTCTGTTCTATTTGAAGGTGAGTGGCGAGTTGTACACATATCACTTCCCGGGTAAAGGCTCCCGATACCAGTTGTCCAAGAGGCAGATCCGGCCGCAAACCGGCTGTGGACGTTATGGGCAAGAGGTTAAGTCTCTTGCCCCTGCCAGTGATCGAACAACAATTTCACGGTTTTCAAACCCGTAGCCTACTCTCCACATCGCCTAAGTAGTCCTAGCTGCAAACATGCCCAAACCAACCAAAATTAAGTTTAATGTTGTTTGTAAAAGATAAAGTTCCCGTGCTTAACTAATTAAGCACTACGCCATGAAGACATATGGGGGAGTGTATATATAAACCCACGTATACTCGTACCTGACCTCCGCACCAGTTGGAGGTGAGTGGTCAGCTTCAGGGCCCAGCCTCTTTACCCCTGGTACCCATTGGATAGGAGGTTGAGTGGGCCTCAGAACCGGTCTTGATGACACGAAGAAGAGAAAATTCTTACCCCTTCTAGGATTCAAACTCCAACTGCTCAGTTGTCCAGCCAGTAGCTAGTCTCTATACCAACTGCGCTAACCCAGCTCCCATAATGATGTTTGTGGTTAATTAATTAAGCACACCATGAGGACATAGGGGGGAGTAGAGTTACATTTCCATATATTTGTAAAACTATCCAATAGGGACAGGTGGGACTGAAGCTGGTCTTGACACTGTGAATAGGAGACAAACTTCTTGCCTCTACCAGGAACCTGACCCTGAGTTCTCAGACATTCAGCCTACAGCCCATCACTGTATGGAATGGGCTATCCCCAACCAAATTTACCAGCAATCCTACTAGCCTGACTTGTTCAAAAAAAAAAAAAGAGAAAAGCTATCCCTGTAACAGGCCGTGAAGGCCCATAGGGTTGTGAGACGTTAAGGGTCCCACATTACCTTGACAATCGGCTCAAAGATGGCGGTAAGGTTGTCAGCCTTACGCGCCGGCCGCGCTTCACTCCCCAAGACAATTATTTAATTAATTCCTGGTACTCATTTCTGTTGGAGGCTGAGTAAACCCAGGGCCTAGTGCGGCCGGAAGGATTAGGTCAATTGAAAAAATCCAATGACCTCATCGGGACTTGAAGCCGCGACCTTCCAGCTTGTAATTAACAAAAATCTATGGAATTCGTCTAGTGTTTCACATTCCTTTCACTAGACATTTGATGATACAGCACTGTTCTACACTAGGAGTGACAAAGAGTGACGCCATGTTGCACTAGCTCTAATGTGCAGAAGCAGGGCTCATGGCCACCTTCCATGCAGTGAGTACAATGGTGCCATGAGCTGTCCATAGGTTTATTTTTCTGATTTCCACTTCTTTTTTTTTGGGGGGGGGAACAAAGTCTAGGTTAACCTTGAACCATCCTTGTACAACTTCAAAACTATGTAGATTAGTAACAGTTTGGAGTAATTTTGAAATAAACTTTCGCTTTATATTCAGGATGTCCAGGATTTGGGCTCCTACCAATGCTTGTTGCACATGCTTTCACTTGGTATGCTTTAGAACTGGTATATGCTGTTGCTGTGGTGAGGACTGGTTCCAGCTGCAGGACAATGGTTTAGGAAGAAAGTTGTGAGAAGGAATTTCTGTCCTTAACAGATATTGTGTTCATTATTCTTTATATTTTATGTAAAATCAAATTAGAGTACATTTCTACAATACTGTAACGTGCTTTGCGTTACTGATCCCACTTCTGACACCAATGTAACGTGTTACATTGGTGTTACTGTTACGTGTTACTGTAAGCTGCAGTGCTTGCCTGTGGCGTAATGAGTGCCACGTCACAGTAGGACGTTGATTACGGTTACGTTAGCGTTGCGCGTTACGTCACCGCGGAGGGGAGTGGCGGGGAGCGCTACGTTACCGTGGAGAGGAGGGGGGAGGGGGTTCTCAGTCGCGCAACATGTTACAATACTCATAACATGAAGTACATATGAAAATAGGTATTATGGAGGGATTCAACATTTTGTCCCTGCATAACAGTGAAATGTCAAATAATTTATGCTTGTGAGGAATCTGTAGGTTTCTTACTGCAATATAATTACAGCAAGTAATTGTAGATCTTGTAAAGCAGTAGTTCTGGAATACTTTGGAAAGGCAAACAATACTTTAGACCATCTATTCACTATAAAAATCCTAGAGGAGTTGGTAGGAATAATGGCAGTCCTTCTGATGAATCGCCAGTGTGGTGACTGGAATCCATAGCCAGCTGGCTTTCAGTTTCCACAAGAAAAATTACTTGCATTACACAAGACGAAGAAACCCTAAAGACTGCATTTTGAGAATCAACTATCTATAGCAAAGGTTTCTTTGTGAAATCATCAAATAAGTGAAATATCAGGAATCAATTGTAGATACTGGAATAATGAACATTTGGTGCCACCTCGTCAGCCTGAAACAACCAGCTCCAAAAAATAGACACCTCTGATCAGCTAGTGCTGAAGTCAGAACATTGATCAGTCACAAGCCATACAGCTTAGAAAATCTTAGTATGACAGTGTGGAATAGATTCATCTCTGGCTCAAATTAGGGATCAGTAGTGGGCTCTTGTTTACATGATAGAAGGAAGGGAGATTTCTTGACAACCTGAGCAAATATTAGCCTCCAAAAAGGACTTTGCTGCATGAAGTTAGGTAATGCATTTCCTGTGTACTTCAATTTTCTGTCCAACCAGCCTCCACAAATAAGTACTGATTAAGATTTGTTACAAATTACCTCTTTATCAACCTTAGTTTTCTTCAATTTTATGCTTTGTATGGGTAAAGTGAAGGCTGCTTTGGAAAACATATTTCAAATTGTCAGCACTGATGGAGTTCAAAGAAATTTTATGTAAAGAGTTAGCACAAAACCTGCTAAAATTGTTAAAAACAATCTTCTTCAAGACTACATAACAACAGTAACTTGGAAAAGTTCTGGAAAGCCAGCTGCATTTATACTAAGATCCTACACTTGCTAGAATAACAGTATGTGCTAAGTGGTAGTGTCACCTATAGGGAATGCTTTAGAAAAAGCCTGTCTATAAAAACAAAATTCACTAAAAATACCTACCTCTTTATCTTCAAGTGGCAACAGAGCATCATAATGGTCACTGTCTAATTCATTGCTGAACAAGATAGAGAGGTTTCTCTCACTCACAGTTTGACCAACTGTAACCACTGGTGGTTGAATGATTTGGCCCTCAGATACAAAATGAACACTGAAAGACACTAACAGCTATTATTTCGATATTACCACCATATACCAAATTTTCTCCCATGTACATTTTATAATTGTCCCTTGTATTAATATGCATTATTCTGAATGATCTCAAATGCAACAAATAGGCTAAACCTTTGCAATTGACACATCTCTAGATACAGTTTACACACATAAACCATTTCTTATATATGAAATCAATTTCAAGAAATATGCATGCTATCAACAGTGGAAATATATATTTTGCAAGGGTTAAAATTGCAGTACTGATTGAAGCATAGGTACTTCTCACTGCTGCCTGGCAGTCCTATCTATACCTATTAATAACAATAACTTATACACAGTGACAGAATTAGAACAGAATGAAGACAAAATGGCAACCCTTAGGCCTTTATACATATGACTATCCAAACAAAAAATTAATTTGGGACATATCAGTCAATTACAGTCACTTTATTGAAAGGCATAAATAAACAGTTTATTTGTAGATTAGGCATCCCATTGTGCATATCACTAATATGTAATATACAGTTATCCACAAATCACAACTTTTGATTTCAATATTGTTGTTTATTGAAATCTTATCATGCTACATGTTTTGGTCTTCCAACAATCATCCGGCATTTCTAAATAGTAAAATTATGTCATTAATCATTACTAAACTGCTCGTGTAATGGATCCATCACTATTAGCCTTGTCACATAAGTGCATGCAATACATATACTCAATGTTTTATATATATAATTAAAATATTAATCAAGTGGTAAAATTCTAGAACACTAGAACAGTTCCACATATACAACCTTAGCACAAAGAAATTACAATTGAATGACACATACATACATAAATAACCCTATTTTTGACCTAATTGTAAAATATGACCCACATAATAAACCACTCACTAATCCATTTTCCCCCACCACCACCTGAAAATGAAAAGAAAATCCATTTCAACCCTTTCCCCCTCCTCTACCCCCCATAAGCCCGACCTCACCAGAAGAAAATTATTTTTTTTTAAATTCGCTTAGTGGGGGGTGGAGTCCAGCTGGGTCCCCTTGGCACGGCGGCCACTGATTGGCCTATTGTACCTGCCCTGGGTGATTATGATGATGGACAATTTGGTGAAATGATGATTGGCAGGGAAACCGAAGTACTTGGAGAAAACCCGCCCCAGCGCCACTTTGTCCACCACAAATCCCACTTGACCAGACCCAGAATCGAACATGGGCCACCACGGTGGGAAGCCAGTGACTAACTGCTTGAGTTATGGTGCGGCCTCACCAGAAGAAAACTGCAGTTCACTCTCAACAACACAACCAAGCAATACATCATTATAGGAGCAACAAAATTGAAACACAAGTAATTATATAGACATACACAGTAAGTATCTACAACTCTAATTTACATTAACATCACAAATACTCCTTTTAAGGAAACCAGATAACAGTAAAAGTAACACCACCATACTAATAACAAGGATAGAACCAAGAAACCTACTACGGAATATATAAAGTAACTACACAAAACATAAAACAACAGTAAGAAAATAAATAATTACCATTATTTTATAATATATTTTTAATTTACAGATAAACAGCCCATGCAAAATAACATGTGACCAGTGACGATGTAATAATCGCTTATATCTACAGAACATCTTAGATTAGTAAATAAGAGCATACAAACAACCACAGATAATAATAAGGCACACCCATACAAAATCCATGTCACCATAAAATGACAACTAGTCACAATTTACCCACCCAACTCCACCCATAACACCTCCCATATTATTAAATAAGACAACCTAAAAACTAAGAAATTAAATATATTTCAAGAATTTTCCATTTGATGATTAATATTTTAATTATATTTATATTTGAATTTAAATTGGCACAACAGATCATCAAGATCCTGTATGAATACAGAATAAACACTGGTAACCTCAAAAAGTGGGACAACCCTCCATACCAAGTTCTCACCGTAGCTGATAGAAACAAGACAAGGAAGCCAAGAGCAAGAAAATATAAATAATGGTAATAAAGCTAATAAAGTAGAATTTCCCAAAGTGAAATGAGGCAAAGAAAAACAGAAAATCATAGTACTGGGTGTTAGCCATGTAAAAGGCATGGCTAGTGAACTGAAGCATAATCTGAACGAGGAATTCAAAATTCTGGGCATGGCAAAACCTGGATCCATGCTTGCAGATGTAGTGAATACACCTTGCTCTGACTTAAAAACTTTAAAAAAGAGCGATGTCTGTGTCATTTGGGGAGGTACTAACGATGTTGGATGAAATGAGACTTCTGTGGGCGTTTGTGCACTGAACGACTTCGTAAAATCGCTTGATCACACTAATATGATTGTCTTAAATGTTCCACATATACATGATTTGACATCTAATTCAAGTGTAAATGATGAAGTAAAGTAGGAAAACTGTGTAAAGTGTATAAAACTTGTCAGTACTACCAGTGGACTCTAATAGGGATCTATATACTAGGCATGGGCTGCATCTAAATGCAAAAGGAAAGGAGCAAACAGCTCAGAAAGTTGCCTTAACAAGAAAGGATTTGTTTATGTAAAAGTGTTATCGATCACCTTAGAATGGAAAGCTAATGAAGATAACTCTGGTGCCATGTTAAGTGAGGCATCTCTGGGATCTCATATACAGCCAATTCCAGTTCTTCAGGAGGGTATTTCTGTCAGTACCAAAGTCTCACAAGAAGGCTTAAATAGTGATCAGGGTCAATCTAAATCCAGCCGTGGAGCTGTCGACAAAACATCAAAATCCTGGTTTGCAATCTAAAAGAAGAAGACACCCCTCAAAAATAAATGTGGATTTTTTTATGGTAAACCCCCTCCAAGAAACAGTCTTCTCTCATAATGACAGGATACCAACTACTGAAGCATATAAGAATCAGAGAATTAACATAGAATCCAATCTTGACAATAATACATTTAGTATATATCACCAGAATATTAGAGGCTTACAAGGTAAAACAGATTAACTTATAAGCTCCTTGTATCTTGACTTGCCACATCTGTATGTCTAAAAGAGCATCACTTAAATTACATGGAATTAGATCACATTAATTTAGAATATTATATTGCAAAATTTTGTCCAACGTTATCAGAGTAGCAAAAAACCTTATTATAATAGATTAATTTCCAATTCTAATAATACAGTTACAGGCAGAAAGTTAAACAATACTAGTATCCAGGCTTTAAATATAGATGGAAAATTAATGGATCATCATCATATAATTACAGAGTCATTAAATAACTATTTCCTAACCATAGCCGATAAAATTAATACTAACAATACTAATCTTGGCGTCAGTATACATATTGATGCTTATAAATATCTGAACTATGTCTCAGCCTTTCGTGACTCTCTTCCCAAGAATTAAACTTAACTATACATCCACCTAAGAGACTGAAAACGTTATCAAGTTCTTAAAATCAAAAGATTCTAATGGATATGATGAAATCTTGGGTAAAATTCCAAAAATTAGCGCCCCATTTATAAGCTCTCATCTAACTCATATCTGCAATAGAGTTCTCTCAACTGGTGTCTTCCCCTCTCGGCTGAAATATTCAGAAATAATATCACTATTTAAAAATGGGGACAGAACTAATATGACTTATTACAGACCTATATCAGTACTATCATCCTTTTCATAAGTTGTGGAGGTTATATATATTAGACTGAACCAATATATTAAATGAACAATATGGCTTTAGGAGCAATTCATCTACAGGAAAAGCCACATACAAACTTCTTAATGAAATATTAACTGGATCTGGATTTACAGAACATAAATAAATAAATATTCAGAACATTCAAAATTTCTGGGAGTTTGGATAGACAAGAGTTTAAGGTGGTCTATGCATACCCAGGAACTGACAAAAAAGTTATGTAAAATATGATTTGGTCTAGGAGTAGTAGAAAGAGTATCAGGGCTGGAGTCTGTTCGTACTCTATATTATGCCTACTTTCATTCCTTGTTATCATATGGAATACTATTCTGGGGCAACTCACCAAATGCTAAATTGATTTTTAAGTTGCAAAAGAGAGCTATTAGAGCTATGATGCAAATTCAGAAAACTACTAGTTGTAAACAGTATTTTAATTATTTAAATATATTACCCTTACCATGCTTGTATATTTATGAAACTCTGGTATACACAAAATCAAATTTGAATACTCTTGCAACCAATTCGGAAATACATTCATATAATACAAGGGGAAAAGATGACCTATATATTGTTTCATGTAATACCAGTTTATGCAAAGGCAATTTTATTAATACTGGACTTTGTATGTTCAATCATTTACCGTATTACATTAAGGAGACACCAGCACTATACAGATTCAAGAATGCTTTGAAAAACTTCCTGTTTGATCATTGCTTTTACAGTGTAGACGAGTGTCTTACTTTTTTAGAAAAGAGTTCTAGTTAGTCTAAATTATATATTCCAAGATTCCAAGAATCAATTAGCCTCATAGTATTGAATAATACAAGTCACGAGAATGCTTACTGCTCAGTTCATTTATTATTTTTACAGTGTAGACGAGTATTTTATTTNGTATCGGATTGTTAATGTTCAGAATTGGCTTGACTTGTCATGTATCATGTACAGTGATCTGCAGTGACGAGGTGGATCAATCAATCAATCAATATTATATTGTCATATTATTATCTCTGTATTGCTATATTATTATTATTATCATGTATTATTATATTGTCATATTATTTCTGTATTATTATATACTTATTATTATTTAGTATTAGTATTAATATTAATCTTTGACTTGTCCCATATCATGTATAATGATCCATGGATGAAATAAAATTGAATTGAACAATTGAACAATATATAAAACATTGAGTACTTGTGTTTGTATATACAGTAAAACTTGGTTATAGCAACATCAGTTTTTGCGACACCTTGTCCATTGCGTCAAATATTCAATGGTACGAACTAATTCCTCATAAAGCAACTGTTTTTATACCTTGCTTAGTACGACATGCACAAATGCATCAACCTCGTATGTAACGTCATTTTCATTCCTGAATTTCTCTGATATGGACATTGAACGTAATTTAGAAAGTGTGTATTGGGCAAGTAACAGGAAACAGATGAAGATAACTGATTACTGTACTCGTATCTAGGTACAGTAAGGCACAACAATTGATGTAATCTACTGTAATTTGGTGAGTAGGCCTACCTTTAATATACAGTATTAGTGCGGTGTGTATTGTCAGTGAAAAGCGCTGTAATATGTCTTTGATATTACACATTTGGGCAATTCCACGTTAATGTTACGTTAGTCTGTACTTAACTACGTATTTCACTAAAAATGCAACATTTTAACTCGGTTTTTGGTAGATTTTTACGTGACTAACATAAGGCTACTGTGGAAGTGCCCATTTCGGTTACAACGACATTCGTTTATAACGACACTATTTTTAGGTCCCTTTGATGACGTTATAACCAAGTTCTACTGTACTTATATGCATTGTTTGTACTTACGTGAGAAGACCACTAGTAACAGATCCATCGTGTGAGCAGTTCAGTAATGATTAATGACACAATTTTACTAATTAGAAACTCCTGATGATGGTTGAAAGACCGGAACATGTAGCGTGATAACATTTTAAAATTGATATTGAAAACAAAGTTGTGATTGGCAGATATACTGTATATTATATATTAAACATTTACTTACATATTCTAAACATACCTATATTACATAAATGATAAAATAAAATATAATATCACAGTCAGAACAAGTGTATGATATCTGTATATTTTTGTATGATAAGCTACTTTTAGAAAGTTGATGAATCTAGATTTTAGTATGATGGATGTCTACAGATCATGTAAATGTTTTGAATAAACATAACACTCTGCTGCACACTGGAATATGCTTCACAGTAGGGACATACTAATGGTACATTTCTTCCTTAATATTTGCTGCACATTTTTCTCACAAGCACACGAACTGTGTTCAGAAATCACTCACGAAGAATCTCTCTCAACTAAACTCTTATCTCGCTCTGGTTTAAATTGTAGTAGTTTTGCATATCTTTTCAGCAGCTTCTTCCAATAACATGAAACATCTTTCATTCGCAGGTGACTGAGTATCATGTCACGACCTCTATCAGCTATTTCTCGAGCTTTGTCATCATTGTGGGATACAAACTCCAGCAACTCTCTGCAATATATTGATAACCATGAAATTGAATAATTACTCAACAATGGAATATTAATCTAGTTTCATTGCCTAAGTTAAGATTTTACACTTTAGCTGCAAATATGCAGACTATAATATGATGTAATGAAATTATTATAAATTACAGAAAATATTACACAAATCGTACTTGAATTAAATAAAATTTAAGTGTGAAATCCATGAAATGGGAACAACCTAGATCCTCATTCCATTAGTTTCAGTGTGTTACTAGGCAATAAATGCAAAAATGCTTAGGCAGGTAGCAATGAAATTCTAGCCTCAAACTGGCTGCCAGAGAGAGGAGTCCCCCTAAACATGGTCTGGACAATACTTCCGATCTTGCAATAAGCAGTCAGGAAATGTGGTGCACTGAAGTCAATGTACAGTAGTAAAATTTAAGCACTTTAATACACAATGACACCAACTGGAAGTACTGGAGGTCTGCTGCAACACGAATACATATCCCCAAGCAGGGTATTCTGTAACTGCTCTCATGCAAGCAAAAGATTTTTCTGAATCTGTACAAAACTCAGTCAAAGGACAGTTCTGGTATCTGAATATTGGACATAAAGAAAGAAGCAAAGTCTCAACAAGTAATGTCAAACACAATTCATTAAAGAAATGCTAATCTACAAATCATCACAGAAATTTGGTTGAGATGAAGATGAAAATGGACAGAAAATTGTTTATGAAGAGCCAAATTTGAAGCTTAGATACTGTCATGTGTAGGGGGGTACAGATATAGTGGGTTTTAGATCGGATGATTGGATTTACTGGCACTTCAGATACAATCACTTTTAATCGTTATCAAGACAGCGCCATCACTGATTTACACAATTTATGGTTCACTGTTACACATGAACTAGGCTTCTAAGTCTTCCCTATTCACCTCCTGGTAATGGAATCAAAACAGTCTCACTATGACTAAATCTTCAAATCACACACTATGTCTTTACATGCCAACTTCCAATTCTTCAACTATGAAGTTCCCATGGCTATCTCCTACTGACAACTGCACTCTGGTCCAATTCTCTGAACAAACAAACAAACTCCATGGTTTTAGTCCGCAAGCAAACTATACTGACAAAGCAACTGCTGCTTGTCGGCGAAGTTAGTGCCGACTTTAGTGGATAGAGGGTGCCGTGTGGTCAGCACAACAAATCCCCACGGCTGTTAATTTCGGTTTTCTAGACCAGAATCGCTATTTCCTTCAAATATCTCCTCAATTATCCTCACAATGCTGAGTGAACCCCATTCCTGACTCACTACTCAGAAAATATGGTAGCACCTGGAATTGAACCTGGACCTCTGGATCTGTAGCTAGGAACTCTGATTATTAGACCACAGAGGTGGTTGACATAAGTATTACCAACAATAAAATAATGATTTTGTTACACATCATTTTTAGTATTAGTAAACAGTTTTTAGCATGAATAAATCACAAAAATTATGAACCAAAATTAGTAAACTAATCACTACATCAAACTGAATGATCTGTTTCTGTCTGATGATTCACTGAAATCACATGTACACACAGCTTATTGACTTAAAGCAGAGATGCCAGCATTTGGAATGGACCACATGATGAAGCAAAGTTTTTACTGAAAAGTCCAAACGTTCGAAGAATCAGAAAGTTATACATACACTTGTTCAATATGTATTATCCATCATCTCCAGGAAGAGTAAATGTTCAATTTTCATGAGTTTGCTGGAACAGACCTATAAACATGTGGAATGCAATTTTGTTTGAACTATTAGGTTACGAAATTTGATTCATAACTGGTTCTCTTATAGTTCAAGGCCATTCTGAAGTATATTTGTGCAAGTGATTATGATGTAAGGTAAGATTTTACTTCTATTGTTGTTAATTAAGAAATAAGTACCCTGTTACATGCCATATTGCTAAGAATGGAACTTCAAATAATTCCTTCAGTGACAGCTGCTCTCAAAATATTTCAAGAGCTTTGTAATTCACTGTCTTTCCTTGATTTGAAATCATTCTGAAAATTTTCTACTATATGCGAGTATTTATAATTGTATGATTTATGCAGATTTGGATAAACTTACATTTGTGCAAAGAGATTTTCTACAGTGAACCTTACCTGTAAGAAGTGCAGACCTACACAATAGGAAACCATATGGGAAATTTACTTGTTCTGAACATTTGAAATCAAATTAAATATAACTGAAAAAAATCAGTGACATATTTTTATATTTTGTCTTTATTTTTACACAGACGTTCATTCTGATATTTGTATATGCTAGTGAACTCTAATTATTCATCACTCTAAATATTTTATTATCCATTTATGTTTATTACATATCCATTTAAATATTATATGGGGGATAATGGCTAGCATCAGAATGCGTACATCTTTGTAGACATATGTACGAAGTTGGTTGGCAACCCCTCATTTAAAGTAAACTGTGGACCAAACAAGGACTGCCTCTGTGGTCTAGCGGTCAGAGTTCCTGGCTACAGATCCAGAGGTTCTGGTTTTGATTCCCGGGGCTACCAGATTCTCTGAGAAGTAGTGAACCTGGAACAGGGTCCACTCAGCCTTGTGAGGATAATTGAGGAGCTACTTGAATGGAAAAGTAGCGGCTCCGGTCTAGAAAACTGTAATTAACGGCCATGAGGATTCGTTGCGCTGACCACGCGACGCCCTAAAGTTGGCACTAACTTCATTGACAAGTGGCTGTTGCTCAGTCAGTATAGGATTCTTGCAGACTAAAGCCATGGAGTTTGTTTTTTGTGGACCAAACAAAACTCTCAGCCATCACTTATGTCCTTATATTACAAAATTCTGTAAGGATACTGTATGCAACATGCTAGGCACTTTATTATGGTATTTTAAAAAATAAAACAAAACAAAGAAATCTTATAACCAGTTATAACTGAGGACCATTGTGACCAATTCAGCTGACAACTTCATTACTCACTTTGACTTCACATTTTTTCGATATGAGCTGACTTGGAGAAGTCACATTTGTTTGTGATGGTACACAGATCCAATTCTCTCCCCTGGTCCTACCATCCTGCACAGCCAAGTGCTATTTAAATTTGCATGTTTTACAAATTTTTAACTTCCCATCTTGGCCACATATATGCAACTGGAGAGCACTAAAGGTCTAAAACCCCTTCCTCCCTTGTTTTGCACTCAGTAAATACTGGAAAATATACACTGGAATTATAAGTTAGGTACAGGGGATCTTCTGTTAATAGCTTGAGAGTAATGAGTAATTGGAAAAATATGTATCTGTGTACCTTATGAATATCTACTTTTAGACAAATTTCATGACAAATATAAAAACAGTATTCTTACACCCAGTGTTTAGCCACATACTTTTGGTTAAATATGTGATTATAACTAATTAATCATGCAATGTGTGCATTTGCAAACCAACCAAGCATTTAGAACAGATGTGTCTAGACTTCCAAAGTGGCACACACTATGTGTTTATATTTGCCCAACCCACAAAATATAGATAGGGACAATCAATGTCCATAGGCAAGTAGCTAGGTGAAGTTGGTGAGGATGTTTTCTAATTAGCCATAACAAATATCTTGAGACCTGGAACTACAAATTTAGAGTACATATGACAATTACTATTTTGGGAGGTGTGATGCTGTATAGTTTGACAGACAGGTACATTGTTTTGGAGGAACCTGCTGCCTCCATCATCCACACAACACTGAACACACTACCGTGTAGTGTGGTAGATATGTATCAGTGTTTCAGAAGAACCCCCTTTCTTCTGAAACACTGATACATATCTACCACACTACATGGTATCACATCCCACAGAACAGTCATCTTCATAGTCATCACCATGAGAACCTCAAATCTAACACAGAGATAATAGTTTGTTTAATTTTTACATGACACTGATCTACTATTACATGTAGCCTACATGATTTTTATGTGTGTAACATGTCATGACCCAGATGTTCCATCCTCTTTTATCTTTGGCCAGCATTCACTGTCTCTGTCTTAATACTGCTGTCTCTGACACTCCTGCTAGCATGGACCATGCCAATCAAGTTTATGGCACATGCAATATGCACAATATTGTTGCATGTCAAACATTCACCCCACCACCTGATTAATAAAAATGGCTGCTGTGCTTTTGTCTCTCATTATATTGCTTCTTCACTTCATTTTGTCAAGATAGGCTGGTTTCAACTCAGGTAATGTATGTGCAGCAGTTCTAGGAAATTGAAGTGGGGGGGAGAGCTGTCATAAAAATATTCTATTATTATCCAGTGGGACCCCTCATCATTTATGTTATGTGTTGGGTGCCTTATTATAGTTAGTTTGCATCATTCATATCCTCTTTAGTTAAATTACTAATAATAAGCAGCAATTTAAAAGTATGTCAAACACTGGGAAGCTATACAGATACACAGCTGGGTCTGAAATGATGGCTATATATTAGGTAGAAAAGAATATAAATCGTGTTTTTTTCTCACATAACTCATATCCTCCTCCATATTATACACCCATAATTCTCCTAACTTCAATCTAGCAAGTAAATTCGGAAAAGCAGTATTTGCATATTTTATGCACTCATCTCTAATAGAACTAAGTATCAGGAAGGCTGCACCATAGCTCAAGCAGTTAGTTGCTGGCTTCCCATCGCAGTGGCCCGGGTTCAATCCCGGGTCTGGTCAAGTGGGATTTTTGGTGGACAAAGTGGCGCTGGGGTAGGTTTTCTCTGAGTACTTCAGTTTCCCCTGCCAATCTTCAATCCACCAATTGCTCCACAATCACCCTCACCTATCATCTGGGGATGGTACAATAGGCCAGAAGTGGCCGCAGTACAAGGCACTTAGTCCCACCCCACTAACAACAAAAAAAAGTATCAGGAATCTTCCTGGGTTAAAGGGAGGTGAGCCAAGTGTCTAGAAAATGTGGGAGCCTTGATGTCTCACAACCCTATGGTCCTCCGCAGCCTGGTACAGATATAGCTTCACCTCTTTTTTATGCACAATTTTCAGGCACAAAATTCTGGTTAAAAATTACAGTACTATAGTTTAGGGAAAATTGACAAGCAAGCACATAACTGGAGTAATACAGCTTACCGAATATCTCCTTTAGTAGCATTGCTTTTGACTGGAATGTAATGAACCCACTGGCGTAAGGCAGGGTAGAAAAACTCAAGCCATTCATCACCAACATGAAACACCAAAGAGTGGCACAAGAAAAGATGCTTCAAACGGAAACTAGCGGCAACACCACGGAAATTGAACAAATAACGATATTTGCAATGGTCTTCTAATGACACTTCATCTGCTGGGGCTGCATACAAAGTATCCTGAAACAAATACAGTTAGATTCAAATATAATTCACTCTATGAGAGTAAGGAGTCAGGAGAGTGCAGTCAGTATAGCAATTGCCTATGGGCTGGACGACTGAGAGGTCGGAGTTTGTGTCCCAGTAAGGTCAAGAATTTTCTCTTCTCCACGTCATCCAGACCGGCTCTGGGGTCCACCCAACCTCTATCCAATGGGTACCATGGACTCTTTCCCCAGGAGTAAAGCGGCCAGGTCATGAAGCTGACCACTCACCTCCAATTAGTGCCGAGGTCAAGAAAATGTGGATTTGTACATCCATTCCCCCATACGCTTTCAAGGCGTAGTGTTTAATTACTTAAGCACAGGGAAAACTTTACCTTTACCTTAAGGGCCAACTAATCATAATCATATTTTTTCCTATTCATGCCACTTATTGCTGAAGTTGAAAATTAATAACAAACACTCACAGTTCACAAATAGAATGTCTTCTGCCTGAAACTACATCACATGGTGCAGCACAGAATTCTTAAAATTAATGAATGAGAGTTCAGAAGGCATTTCATTTCTTTCCAACTGAATAAGTTCATAAAACATGGACACAACAAGAAATTATGGGAAGAACTAATCAACTACTTTCTTTTGATATGATATGCAATGAGTAGAAAATGATGCATCCAACAATTCTTATATTGTTGTGCGTATATTTGTTGCCATGGGAACATGTTTATCGAACCATTGCCTGGCAATGACGAGAGGATACACACATAAACACAGAGCAAGGTGATTTCAGAAGCATACTATTTAAAAAACAAGAAATGTAGGCTAGGAAAAAGACATTTTGATTTGCCCACACATACACAGTAATACAAAGGCTGTTGTGTAGCAATGGCAGTAATGTGTTTACTGCTGTTGCCTAGCAATGACTGTCTCCTCTGTCTTCTGGGAGTCACACTAAGTGTGCTCTCTTTGGTCTGATCCAATGTGTTGGGCAAATGTTCAAAACAGACAATATTGTTTCCGCCTGAGAGGGAGGAGATCCACTGCTCTGCTCAATCAAGTGTTTACACTGAAAGGCTGAACTCTTATCTTGTCAAAAAGGAGATTCTGTTGCCTAGCAGCAATGGGAGCGGTGCACAGACACATACAGGAATGACAAAGCATAAGCCTGCATGAGGAGAATAGGCTAAAAACAAAGAATGAAAAAGAATCAAGTTTTCTCTAAGAGGAGAATGTATACCCACAAATTGAAAAATGAAATAAAGGAATAAATCACTCACTGAATCAGACTTCCATGCCTGGTTCTTGGTGTATTTTGCATCCACTAAGTCTGGCTGATCTCTAGACAAAAGAACCAGGGAATCTCTCTCACTACTTGTCCGAGAACCACGGAAGAAAGCCACTGGTCTTTTGCGTTCCCAAGGCCACTTGTCTGCTGCAGCTTTGAGTGAGGTACGATGCAGATCCCAACGACCCAGACCTTGAGGATATAACTTGATGGCAGGTCCTCCTTCCCAGAATCCCCATGCCGGGTACATAATGTCAAAATAGTCACTTGTCTGCAATGATACTGGGTGTTTCAGGAAACTCATAAGCAGACATTTCATACTTAGAATTTGTTACACAATTATAATCACAAGAATGGTTCAATTTTATCTTCAAAACAAAACTGTAATATAAAAGGTACACAGCATAAGGTATTTATCTTTGTAAAGCTACATCTTTAATTTTACATGTATCATGGAATAGAGCTATGCATAGAAATTAAAGAAGAAAAAGAACAAGGTGTAAGAATTATAATGAAATCTGGAGATATATGGATTTATAGCCAACATTACATATAGAGCCATAGCTAGATATTTTGAATTGTTCATAATTTAGATCTTGTGCAGTATGTGCTAGGAAATGTTTGAAGTTTTCAATTTTGGATTAAAGTTTGTCGCTGGTATCATATTTATATGTGTGCAAATTTACTGTTAATATTTTCATGTTATTAACTGACTTCGAATACAAAGTTAACCATGTAAAAGACTGAAATCTTCTTTGAAACATCATCTTGTGTTTCAATTTACTTTTACAGACACTTAGAAAAAAGATTCTGGCATATAACACTCAGGATTACTGGGTTTTTAACTTTGTCCATCATACAGTATTCTAAAAAACACAAAAGACATTTCAGAAACTGGTTCCATTTCCATCCTCAGATGAGGGGTGCGAGACACCTACTCTATTGAGTCCATTAGAAAGAGCTAACCTCAATCACTGGACCCAGTGATTAGGTCTAGTGACTGAGCTCTTTCTAACAGACCCAACAGAGTAGGTGTCTCACACCCATCACCTGAGGATGGAAACAGAACCAGTTTCCAAAACATGTTCGTGTTTTTCAGAATACCAGGCGATGGACAAAGTCCAGTAATTCCAGCTTCCAAAAAAGTTTGTCAGAGAATTTTACCATTATGGAGAGCTTCAGAAAATGTAAAAAGTTGTTGTACTATTCCAAAGAATAGAAGCATTTCAACTGAAATGCTTGTGGCATGTACTTCAACTAAATTTAGAATGTAAACTATACATGGTACAAATCATGCATGAACTTTTTATCTGATATTAATGCTTGAATTCCATCATATTTTCCTGACATACTGACTCATTATTACCCTGGCCTTGAATATTACCAAGTCTAAATACATCATTTTCTTTGCAATTTTTTCAGTGAGTCCAGCATTTGTTTTCTTTTATTTATGGAATTAAACACTCTTCAGTTGTGTATGAATCATATTATCTTCATTTGTCTGGTTATCTGTGATAAATAATCTTTTCTTTAGATAGCTATCAAATATTTGGATTTGGCAAATAATTACTCCCATCATTTTCTCATGTAGACTACAATCTAATTGTGAATTTGATCAGTTCAGAGAAATATCTCATACAGCAAAGGTCAGCTCCAGCTGATGTGAGGCTGTTTCCAAACTCAAGAGTGTGCTGAAAGGAAAGTGTCTCTTGGAGGTTGAGGACATTAAATCATCTGTCAGAAAAATTTTAAGACATTCCTGTTCAGTATTTTAAAAACTGTTTTGAACAATGGCTGAAGCGTTGGGAACAATGTAAAGAATTGGAGGGAGGCTACTCTGGAAACTTATAGGTTGGTAATATCTGCAGGTCTTAAACTATATTAAAAAAAAACTGGTCTCAAAAATCCATGTTAGGTGGGTCCCTTTTCACCATGGCACAGAGCATTCTCAGGTTGCAGATGGAGGAAATGACCTCCAAATAAGAGGGTAGCAGCAAATGTACTGAATAAGTAGACGTGGACAGCCAATAAGGGATGGTCCGTATGGAAAAGTCCATATAGGTAAATATTTGTCTGACAATTTTCCTATCCAGAATGGTCTAAAACAAGATGATGCTAAAAACAGGTGGGACTGAAATTAAATGGGACACACCAGTTGTTGGTCTATGCTGATGATGTGAATCTACTGGGTGATAACATAGATACCATAAAGAACACAGAAACTTTAACTGACGCTAGTAAGGAGGTTGGTCTAGAAGTAAACACAGAGAAAACTAAGTATATGTTGCTGTCTCATCACCAAAGGGCAGGGAAAAATCATGACATAAAGATAGCTAACAGATGTTTTGAAAATGTGACACAGTTCAGATATTTGGGAACAACTGTAACAAATCAAAACTTGATTCAGGAGGAAATTAAGTGGAGACTCAATTCAGGTAATGCTTGGTATTGTTCAGTCCAGAACTTCTTGACTTCCTGTCTGCTGTCTAAAAACATAAAAACTGGAATATACAAAACTATAATTTTGCCTGTGGTTCTGTATGGGTGTGAAACTTGGTCTTTGATATTAAGGGAGGAACATAGACTGAGGGTGGTGTTTGAGAACAGGGTGCTGAGGAGAATATTTGGACCGAAGAGAGATGAAGTGAGAGAATGTTGGAGAAAAATGCATAATGAGGAGCTTCATAACTTGTACTCATCACAAAATATATTTAGAATGATCAAGACAAGGAGCATGAGATGGGCTAAGCATGTAGCACGAATGGGGAGGAAAAGGAATGCATATAGGATATTGGTGGAAAAGCCAGAAGGAAAGAGGCCACTAGGAAAACCAAGACATAGGTGGGTGGATAATATTAAAACGGATCTTAGATAGGTTGGGGTGGTATGGAATGGATCCATCTGGCTCAAGATATGGACCAGTGGAGGGCTCTTATGAACATGGTAATGAACCTACGGGTTCCATAAAATGCTGGCAAGTTCTTGAGCAGCTACTCAAGAAGGGCTCAGCTGCATGAAGTTAGTTAGTTAGTCTCGAAACTTATTTTCCCAAACTTTGCTGGTAGCTCAAAAGTATATATGGAAAAAATAAGGTATTCTTTGTTGCACTTTATAGAAGCCACTTCCTCATCACACATTCACCATTAGGTAGTGTACATAAATACTACTAGCTGATCTTAAAAGATCTAAACTAATTTAAGCCAACATCACCTAATACTGAACAAAATCTGATTAAAGTGAAATATATGTACTGAACCAAAATAAACACTGGATTTAACATTCACCTACTAAATTGTGGTGCAATACTGCCTTGCTTATAAACTGTTATGAGTGCAACTGGAATGATCAGAGCTAAAGCTTCACTCCTGAAGCCATTAATACAATTAGATAAGTAATTACAGCAAGCAGTATGAAGTAGCACCTGTTAGAAGAAATATAGATCTTAAACTAAAATTACCTTGCTAAATGAAAACACGGGTTTTGGAGGGCCAAAATGCTTACTGATTTGTGGCCAATCACGCATGTTAATAACAAATTCCATATCTGGGAGTTTTGATAGCAACGGGATAATAAAGTGTTCCACTCCAGCACAGCGTGCTGGAAACATACAGTCCACATCACGATAAAGATGATGATTTATGATTTGGTATCTGGTACCTCTGTCAAGAAACACACATAACAGTGACATTAGTATGAGATAGTACAGGCTCTGAATCCTTTCATACAACACAAAGCACATATAAATTTCTGAGATGACTCATGGCATTACAGTACACAAATGTATAAAAGTAATGAGACAATTTCTTCATATACACTTACTTGTCCTTTACAGAATTAATCATGTCCTTTGTGATTCCATACTTGAAAGGCAACAAATCTTTTGCAATTACTGAAGAATGGCAACTGCAGTTTTCTTGAGAACACGGTTTGAATTCAGAAACTGCATCCTGAATTAGTTTCAAGTATTTGTTTGTTTCTGGAATCAGTAAACATTATTTCAACACAGATCCTACCATTATCTCAACAGTCACCTGATTGTAGGGAAACCATGATGCCTTTTAACGGCAAGTCTCATGATTTGATACACTACATACCCAAATATAAAATACATTTACAATTGTCTGCTTGCCCAACTTATTCACATCAACACAGAAGTCTGGTTATCTCTCAACTAAATCCCAAAACATATACTCTTAACACAAATGAATATTTACTCCACGAAATACACTACGAAACTTTCAAAAGATATTTATAATTCTTCCTATTTGCTACGTGAAAAGTTCGTGCTGGTTCTGGATTTACATTAGGAGTCTAACCTTGCCAGACACTTTACCTTACCTTTCGAATAGATAGATGTGTATTCACTTTGCGGACCTCTGCATTCTATGTCACTTGTGCAAGTATTGTCAAAATTTGCATTTACTGAAATTGCAAAAATGAAAATAAACATACAGTACATTCTTGGTAGGTTCAAATTTCCACCTAATCCTACATGTGCACAAACGCTGCCGCTATCAGGTTCGCCAACTAGAACATCAACCTTGCTGGCAGAGTAACGCAATCCGTACACTATGATCCGTGAAACGGGAACAATGTCGACGATCTGTGCTAACGGGTAGTTGCAGTGATCACTGCCGATACACGGCCGATGCAGCCGTTCTCGTCCTCGTCATAATCAGATCACGATGTACACGACGTTCACGACGTTCACGACCGTTCACGACCAATCACAAGGATGCTGGAAAGTGGCAAGGCTGGCAAGAATGCATGCTGTAAGCGAAATGGAACGGGTTAACGGGTTGAGTAAAGCAGTTGCATATAGACTGATATCGATTAACTAAGAAGATAAATTCGTAATATTCATCACAGAAGGCACTATGAAAGACATTGCACAGATATCTTGTCCTAGATCATCATAATCATCATTTCTTGTATGAGAGTATAAAAAGTTCAGATTTATATAACTTTTAATAAGCTCGTGTATTTATAAAATAAAGGACTTTTAAGTTGTTGAATGTTTAAATACGTCACACATTTTAGAAGTTTCGAAATTTATTTATTTCGCATAACGGAATTACAAACAATTGCTAATTTCGATCATTTCAAACCTTTTTAAAAATAAAATTTCCCAAATTCACCCGCATTTTGAAATCTCGGAAAATCTAAAACTCGTTAAATTTTGAAAGTCTTCATTTTCCCAGGAGTCTGAAAATATTTGAATACCAGAGGAGAAATTTTGAGGGTATTAATGATTTATAAACTCTTCAAATGACAGGGCCAAATTTCATGTTCTGATGGACACAGATTTAAGAGTTGTCAATATAATCTAAAGCAGCCCTGCCCAACGCGGTGCCCATGGTATATTTTTCTGGCGCCCTCCGTAACCACATATAATTGAGCCGATTTTTAATATTAATTCAAATTGTAAGACGAGACATTTTTGAACGTCTGAGTACTGTTAAATATTTTCGATTTTTTTATTGTTATTATTGTTAGTAGTAGTAGTAGTAGTAGTAAAAGTACTAGTAGTAGTAGTGTGTGGTGGCGTCCGCACCTCCATAGGCATCAGTGAATTGTGCCCAAGTACATAAGAACGTCGGACAGCAATGATCTAAAGTATTTGAGAAAACTTGCCCCAGTGCCACTTTGTCCACTACATCTCTCACATGACCTGACCTGGGATAAAAACCTGGATCACTGTTGTAAGAAGTCGGTGACTGACTGCCTGAGCTATGGCATGGTCTCAATTCAGAACAACTGCTATAACATTTAACCTTTAAACGCTGGACTTCGGAAATGGTGGTAAGCTTGAGCTGGCCGGAGTTTATTTAAATGCCCGCTGCTGGTGCGCGTTTAAATGCCCGTTGCCACTCTGGGTTGAAATGTCCGTTCCTCTTCGGGCGCTTAATCAATTTTAAGCGTTGTGTTTAAAAATGCTGTATCTAACTCAATTTTTGTGATAAATGGATGGAATTATCTTTGTGTGTATCAGCAAAGAACACACTGTCGCGTATTACAACGGAAGATTTGAAAATTTTTACACAAAGTGTTATACCCTATTTTATTTTATTTTATTTTATTTTTGATGCGTACTGCAAAAATGGTTTCCCAGTTCTTCACAGAGTTATTCTGCATTATAACTTAATTTCTGTTTGTAACACTTCAAAATTTTAGCAGTGCCCTGGTGTCGTAAAACAGGTGGAAGCAATAAAGTCATTTGGTCTTTTGCTAGCACTGCTTACACTTTCCAGATTTTCGAATCTGGACAGAAGGACAGAAGAATGAAAGAATGGCTATTCACGAGAAAGCTAGAGGGGTCCCTTCCTCAGTGCTAAAACCTTCCGTTATAGCTGCAAGATATTATTGCCCTTTCTAGGGTCGTGAACACACAGTTACTTCGTGGCTGAGATACAAAGTGGCGTCTCTTTCCTGTGTAGTGATAGTGAAATCGAATACTGTAGTTTCATTTCATCTTACCATGGCAATGAAACGTCGTTTGGAAAATTATGAAATTGAAAGGCAACTGCTATTCAATTCTGATTCGGACTGCTGCACAGAAGATGAAGATAATGATTGGGGCTACGAAGATGAGGATGATGAAGAACTCGTGCAGCCACCGCCATCATCACTATCATCATTGTCGTCATCACCATCGTCATGGGGACCACCACAACAGCATCGCAGAAGGGGTGTGAATAATTTTTCTGGTGAAGCAGTGGGGATAAATCTAAACAAAGCTCCACATGTGAATAAGGATTCCACTCCACTCTGCGTGTTCCTGTTATTCTTCAGAGAAATTATCCATCTGCTGGTGGAAGAGACTAACAGATATTATCACCAATATCTCGACAGTCTTGAAGACGGACCTTCTCCACTCCCTGACATTACTGATTCCGAAATGTTTCTTTTTTTAGGGGTCATTATTCAAATGGGCCATGACATTAGAGACCAAATAAGAGACTACTGGGCGACTGCTGAGCAATTTCTCACGTCTTTCTACGGTAAGACATTGAAACGCGACCGATTTCTTCATATTCTTCGCTTCCTTCACTTTACAGACAACAATGCAGGAATTGACAGACAAGCCGACAATTATGACCGACTATGGAAAATTCGGACTATTTTTGACACTCTAAATGACGGATATGAAAAATATTATAATCCTTCGGAGCATCTGGCTGTTGACGAAATAATTGTAAAATTCAAAGGGAGGGTTATTTTCAGACAATACATTCCTAAGAAACACAAACGTTTCGGAATCAAAATCTTCAAGCTCTGTGATTCAGCAGGCTATACATACGACATGAAGGTTTACTTAGGTAAAGACAGAACACGCGCTGACCAAGAAGTGACTGCGACGCATGCAACTGTCAGGGACCTCTGCAAAAGAGTAGAGGGGGTTGGGCACAAACTGTACATGGACAATTTCTTTTCGTCGCCAGACTTGTTCGACGAACTAATGACGAAAAAAATAAGCTGTTGCGGAACAGTCAGACCAAATCGGAAGGGCCTACCACAAGACATACGCAACAGACAACTTCGATTGAAGAAAGGAGACATACGGGTTAGGGTGAGGGGTGACATGACAGTATTAGTTTGGAAAGACAAACGAGATGTATATATGTTGACTAATATGCACGCTCCTCCAGCAGAAGGCAATTTCTGTGATGAACACAGAAATGCGATAAAGCCTGCAATTGTTGCGGATTACAACATGCACATGGGATATGTTGACAAAGCGGACAGGATGACAAACAGTTATTCCATCAGCCGTCGGACTTGGAAATGGACGAAGAAACTATTCTTCCATTTACTAGATCTGACGATTCTGAACAGTTTCATTGTGCTGTCATCCTGTGGTGCGAAAATATCACATAGAGACTTTCGTCTAACCCTTGTGCGCAACATGCTGGAGCATGCCGCAACGTGTCGCCCTCGCCCCCAGGGGCCCTTAGGTCGACCTCCTGCTCTTTCATCTACAATATATCGCCTAGAGGAGGCCAGTCGACAACACTGGCCAAACCATTCAGACAAGAGACTGAACTGCCGCGTCTGTTCTGCACGTGGGAAAAGGAGAAGAATACAGACAAAGTGCGAGAAATGTGACGTGGGCCTGTGCATTCTCGGGTGCTTCAAAGAATATCATACAAAGCCGAGATTTAGTTAGATGATGCAGGGGGTGGAGCCTATATATACATCAAGCAGATAACAACAAAAAGGTATGTACATCGAATTTTACTATATATTTTTACATATTTATCTGCAGAATCTGCAATAAAATTACTGGCTCGTGGATGAGAATCGGCGTAACTCATATGTATACTCTTTTTGTTGTTGTTCATTTAGGTATCATTTTAATTACTCTATTAGGATTTTACTCAAGTCGGTCTGGTAATTACTACATTTAAAAATAAATATTTAGGACTGTGCATTCGTGTCTACTAGCGGCGTGTGCGCGCACTTCCCCAAGCGGAGTTTAAATGCCCAAGTGGCCAAAACTGGGTACTTTGGCCACGACGACCTTACTCACCACTGGCACAAACGGGGAACTTCGGCACTTAAAGGTTAACTGACAAGATATCAGGTACAGGGTGTACAATGTGAAGTCTCTAACAAAATAGCTGTCTGTAGTTCTTTAGAGATATCCAGATAGATTTATAGTTACAGGTGTCTGTATAATATGGAGTAAATACAAACAAATGAATATTTAGATTTTGGGACAACTGCAGTGATTCATGACTTATTGTCTTAACTTCAGGAGCTTTATACCTGAGGTCACTGCCATTCAGAAATGTCATGTAATCATACATCTATCCTCAATGGTTATGGAACAATGGATGTTTGAAATTAAAAAATGGTCTGGATGTAAGTCATAGTAATTTCATGTTGGCTGGTGGCATTTACAATTTCTGCAGAATGAACAGTCAGTCCTGGTGGAAGGTATATCTTTAGAAACACAATTACATACAGATATTCAACATGCTGGAGTGTCTCCCTGTTATAACTATGCAGTGAATATATGTTGAATCACTTCCTGGTCAATGAATTGGATGCTATGGTTCATAAAACTTGGCATCCAGATCTCCACCCCTAGAATTTTATCTGTGAGGGCATATGAAAGATTTAGTATACCAGCAGGAAGTAGAAACATGAGACAGTCGCTCCACTGCATTCTGTATGCTGCAATTGGTTAAAAGGACAACCTGATCCGAAGCGATACCAACTACATGCTCGAATCACAGATGAGCCACGTTGTTACTGAAATCGGTGTGTGTGTGTGTGTGTGTGGGGGGGGTCATTCTGAATAGTTAACTACAAATTCAGCAAAGAAGACTTTTCACAGTTTATGATCAGCAATTCACTTTTCACTTATGGGGACTCAATGGGAGATGTTATATAAATCATGTTTTCAACACAGTATGCCATTTGCTTCTAAAATTATTCTGTTGCACAGTCAGTTTGTAGTCTTATATTACACAGCACTGGATTTTAAAAGCTTAACAAAATATGCATAAAATCAGACTGAAGTCAGTATTAGTAATACTTATTTTTATGTCATCCTTAAGATGTTAATTCCATAAATGTTGGTATTTTTGTTTTCGTATTTCAGTAAGTCATAAACTGCAAGAACTTAATTAATTTATCAGTTGAGATTTCATGACCTAGGGCAAGGAAACAGAGTTTGAAGCCATATTTTGGAATCCTGCTTTTATCTATTCATTCTCTACATGAATGAGGAAATGTAAATTATTAGAATTAGTTACATGACAATGAGAAGGAAGCAATGGAAAATAATAAATGTTGCAGAACTGTTTCTGAAGTGTTGGTATTCTTATTATTTTAAATTCACTGTGAGTAAAAGGTCTCTTCTTGTTTGTTGTTTTAATACAGAAATTCAGCTGTCTCCAATGATAAAATGTAATTAACTACAAAATCTGTAACATGGCCCAGACAAGCCTAATTCTATACTTCACCTTCTCAATCAAATTACCTATTAGAGTAAGAAATTAACACTAAATAAAAATATGAACCCATAAGCCATTCACCTGCTCTGAAGATGGAGGTGATATGTTCCTCCGAAACGTCAGCCAAAACGAAGAATACACGGCGCCAAAAGCCAGAAGACGACTTTCTCCATAAGGATGAAATTTGGCAAAGTGAAAATAATACATACTAATACTTGAATACACTTCTGAAGGCTTTTTATTTATGCTGCCTTAGACAAGTGGCAAGCTATGTGCTGCCGCCATCGTGGTAATAGTGGACACAAATTTCTGCATGTCACTTAGTACTGATAATTCAATACAATAAAATATGTTTCTTTTTTATATAAGCATGTAGTTGTTCTTAAACAAATGACAGGTGTGTACTTAGTATCCATTTCTCAAACCAATGTGTCCAGTCCTGAATTACATTTCCAACATGACAAAGATTGTACAGTTAATGGACATGTCAAAGATATAACAGTTTTGTGCATGGCATTAACATGGTTTACATTCCATCAACAATAATACTGTCTGCAAATGTGTAAGCCAGTGGTACTGAGTGTTATAAGAAGTGATGGAGTTTGTTATAAGTGGCATAATATTATATGAGTGAAAGTTACAACTTTATTTACTCACAAATGCTTCAATGTCTCGATTTTGGACACATCATCTGGCTAAAATTTGTCTTAAAAATCCATGCACTAGGTTCATTTTGATTCACTATTTTGGAGAACAGCCAACAGCATTATAGTGTTTCCTATTTTTATGCACCTCTATTCTAGTAATCCAAGTCACTGGATTGCGAGCTGCTATTTTTTGATATGATCCAACATCCACATTTGCCACTGCAATACCTAAGCCCAGTTATCAATTATCCTAGTTTAACACCAACATCCATCATAATTCTAAATATATACACATCTTTTCTACTGTGTTCATTTAACAGATTTTCTTTCATGCCTTAATTATTTATTTCTCTCCATAGATTCCAAAAGACAGAAATGATAAGGGTTTACACACACTTATGCCTTAAAATTGAGAAAGACACTTAAGCCAAGTATGAGCAATGAATAGTTATATTCACATTATCTTTTAATAATCAGTAACATGTATTTACCACCACAAAGCCATTTTACTGGGTATATGTCGCATTAGAATAATGTTTGTTTTAATTTAAATACTATGTTACAAATCATTATCAAAGAGAGTATAACAAAATTGTCAAAGTCTATTGTAATGCATTCCTTTTATGGAGCTACTTGGTAGAACCTTCATCTTGTCCATTTAATGCAGAATTTGACTTGTTTGGTTACCAGTGATGCACAACAAAGAACAGAGGCTCTAGTTGCTGACAGACTTGGTGAACTGTTATCTTGCATCATGTATTGTTAACTTGAAATATTATTTAGATGGCAGATGATGACAATTATTTGTACATATAACACATTTCCACAGTTAATTTAATAATGAAACAAATAAGGAATCTTAAATTGTTTAGTGGCCTTCAGTGATATATATATATATGGGTATGAAGATAACATATTATGTCATGGAACACTTGAGTTCAGCTCCATCACAGACTGGCATGTTTGTGTAGTAATTTAACCACTGCACTCCTCACTAGTATTTTGTTTCATAATTTCACATGGAATTGCATATGTTCCCCTGGAAGTTGGGTGACATACTTCATGGGAATCAAAGTTTTCTGAACCAAATGTATTAGCAACACCAATATTATGTAATGCAAATTCAAGGTTATATCAATCACACAAATCTCTATGTACAAACTATAGTCCTATCATGAAATCAGTATGTTGTGAACTTTCACACAGTTTTACAGTTCTTGTCAATTTTTTTCTGAATTTTATTTTTATGCTGTTTGCTGTGGCACACATACATCAAATTAAAATGTGGGGTGCCTGTGCTCTTGCATAAAACACATTTTTTATATTGCCATATGGCATGATAGCTGTTATTAATATAGCAAAAGCTACACAAATGTACTGACATTATTGTTAATCTATGAATTACTGGCTCAAATTTTAGGGCAGATGTATTTTTTAAGAAGTACCATATGAGTCCAAATATGAGGTGACTCACTATTATTCCAAACAGAAAATCATAAAGACATATTTCTGTTGGCAAATTTGAATGTGTCATTTAATTTTAAGGGTTGTAAGAAAAAAGTAAAAACTATTATTATAATAAAATAATAAATTAAAAATCAAAACCTTAAATATAATTTTAGGTATTTTCACAAATATCAATGTAATTAGCAATTGGGAACGCCTCATAATCATCATCTTCACATTCATTTTTACGGATCCTAAAACAGGGTGACCCATCTTTTCTAAGCACTATATGAAAAAAGAAAACTCATCTTATATTTAGGCTAATATGGTAATGTGCAGATATTAAGAAATTATCTTGTACCTGAATTAAGAGCAAAAAACAGTACTTTAGGACTTAACAGTATAAGATGTATAACCCTATAGCTCAATCAGAAGGAGTAACAAACAATATGGGATAACTTTTTACCATGCCATACCCTCTCTGCTACAGATCAAACAGTTCTGCTGAATGAAAAGTGGGCTTAAAAATATGCTTCTTCGCATATTTCAATGTGAGTGGATTTACATAATTACAGAAAGTACTGATCCGCCTTAAATGAAGAGATGCAAGTACATCACAGTCATGCTGTAAATTTCTACAGGTTTGTGGCACTAACTTCACCGATAAGCGGCAGTTGCTCAGTCGGTATAGTTTGCTCATGGACTAAAACCATGGAGTTTTTTTTTTTGTTTTGTTTTTTGTACACCTTAATAGGGCGATATTCAACACTTGAAATGAAGCAAATACCATCCCGCATCTCTTTAGTGGTGCCTAAAACCATATCACATTTTACAAGACACTGATGCATCCCTATATTTTTGAGGATGCCCATGACTACACTAGTCTTGCATTCTCTTTCCTTTCGCATCATTAAAGTAGGCACATTACGACAAAAGATAACAATAAAATTTGCTACAGAGCACAGCCATATCTTCACTCCCTCCTTCTGCAAATGGCCTGATCATGATAAGATCCCCCCCTCCAAAAAAAAAAAATAAAAACAGAGTATTTGATGCTGTTAAATATATGCCAAGCAGATTTTCTCTCCCTTCTCTAACTGACAGGTTTTACTAGCCAACCAACTGCATTTCTTTCAGCTGGAAATTTTTACAAATCTTCCAAATACTTGTTGTTCTCCCACTTCAAGATCAAAGTCCATTTCAGGGCAGCTGACAGTATGATTCAGCAAGCCCCTTACACACTGTACTTCATTTATTGAGGTATATACTTACCAAATGACAAGAAATGTCCTATATCATATTTTGTGGTTAAGAGTATGGGTCTTCTGGAAAATTATCCTGTGTAGATAGGTACCAATGTTTTTGAGGAACCTGCTATCACTGTATTCAGTATAGATCTGGCCACTCTGAAGGTCATCTGGTTTCTCAAAAATGTTAGTATGTAGCTGCTAACCTACATGCTGTCAGATCTCAGGAGACTGTAACTTTAATATTTACTACCATAAGAATTGCAAATCTCAGTTTTGTAGTTGATAAACTCATAGGCCCACAATCTTTCAGCCCTTTTGTGACAAAAGATCCACTGAACTATCACAATAAAATCACACATATTTTAAAATGCAATGATACCTCCTCATGAAGGTTTCCACATTAAATTAGTCATCACTTAATATCTATGACGCAGAGTTGTTAAATTCTTCAGCACTTTTCACCAGTCAGAATTAAAATCTGACTTTTGTCATTACATATTATAAATACTTATATGCTATTTCAGTTGAAGTATAAATGCCACTATGTAAAGTGACATGCTTTCACTCAGTTCCTACTCAGATTCATATGTAACTAGTTAGAAATTGGCGCTTTGATCCATGTTATGTTTCAACATTAGGTTTTCTGTCAAAAGAAAGTTTACTGTTTTGTAATTATTTGTGACATTTCAGCCGTGCTGATTATACTAGACTTTTCACCTGGTACTGTGTTGAATCTGAAGATTACACAAGCATTCTTTCAGGGATCTGTAAAATAATTTAATTTAAAAGAAATAAAGAAGAAAGTCAGAATATTTTCAAGTTTCACATAATAAACCAGTAATTAGTTAGTGTTCTTTATTATAAATGCTTCTAGTCATGGTTAGATGAACATTTTTGAACAATTCCAAACAAGCAAAGTGGAGGAATCTAGTTCTAGGAAAATAAAGGACAAAATAGACTCGGTGCTTTTTCATGAGGCAGTACCTACAACTTAACCAGTGGGGACCTCATGATCTCCATATTCCTTAAATCTAGGCTTTGATCAGTGTACAGGAATATTCAAACTTGGTTCTAACTGGGAGTTAAGTATGGACCCTTTGAATGACAGTGTGATATCTTATAACTGATTACATTACGTATTATTATTATAGTTGTCTTGTTTTTACTTCCTCAGAGAGGAGACAATTAGAAGATCACGGTTCCACAGGACACTGCAGTGACAATCAAGAAAGGGATTAAAGTCTGCAAATTCAAAAGCAAATTAATATACTAAAATTTCCTAACATTATCAGCCATCTCAATGGTGAGCAGGGAACCAATGCTTCAGACATAATCTGTGCAATATGGGGAATAATAACAAGTCTATATCCAAGCCAGTTGGTTGGTCACTCAGTCAGTGTAAAGCTTCTCCTTTATTGTGAGATTTGAGGTTCTCAAAAGTGTGACTGTGAAGGTCATTGTGATGCTGTGTAGTCTGAGAGATGTTTTCTAACATTTCAGAGCATGTGCTGCCACCATCTTCAGCACAATGGGAAAATCAAATTCCTTGAAAACAGTAAACCTCTAGCAGATTACATGGCATTACATCTCAGAAGGTAGTATACCTATTTCTCGTTGCTTGCACATTGGACACTGGAAGGGCTGAGTCAGGTTGAGCAATCTGCAATCCCACTGTAGCCCCTGTTCAGCATTGTTTAACTTTCCCAATGGCTAGTTCTTCAAATTTAGTCTGATCTTATCATAACATGACATATATACTTATAATTTTATGTTGCTGTCAGTTGTGAGTTATTAAAGACTTGAAAGAGGAATATGCACTCATACATGTGGGAAATTGTGAATGGAAATAGAACTAATCACACAAATAGGGTCTAAGTCAGATTCTTGCTTGTAACTGTACTGTGCCTAACATTGTTTTTTGAAACATTGTAAGACAGTATTTTAATGTGTATTTTCAAAAGTCAGCCATGCAAACACTGAATATTCAAGAAATTCAGGCACAGTTTTGACTACATAACTCAAAGATTAAAATATATTGCTATCTGTTGCAACAGTATGTGAGATCTCTTAGCACATCTGTGTCCATCCAGATGCATGAATAAAGCTTGCTACAATAATGTAATGAAAAACTAATCTTTTGTTTAAACTACATTGAAGAATATGGATTATCAAGATACGAAAGATTCCACAAGGCTAGACTGACTACAACGAAAAGTGCTATATTGCAATATATATTACAATGTTTCAGAAAATTAATTTTGTTGGTACATATACTTAATTATTATCTGTTGTTCCAAAGCCAGTGATCATTAATGAAGTAACAAAGGGTATTTCATGAATACGAATAAAAGAGATGCCACTTATGTTATCACCAGTATTATTTACTAATTTGTTTATATGTGAAAAATGAATGATGTGGGAACTTCAAACTTTGCTGGGTAAATAAATTCTGCCTCTTTATTTTTAGGCCTACCAATCCCACAGGTGTATGAAGCAACTGAAAATATTTTCATTGTAATTTAAAATTAATTAGAAGACTGCTTTCTTCATAGTCACCGCCGTGAAAGCCTCAAATCTTACATAAAATTAATTAGTCCTCTGGTAGTACATGACACGTCACCATCACTCATACCAAAGCCCAACACACATAAACTAGCTCCACCCACCTCACCCCACTCACAAATGAAGATGGGAATTTCTGATACAAATTTATAACTGGCTATGGGCTGGATGACCGAGGGATTGGAGTTCAATTCCCGGTAGGGTCAAAAATTTTCTTTTCTCCACATCATCGAGACAGACTCTGGGGACCACCCAGCCCCCTACCCAATTGGAAGGGGGGGGGGTGCTCATTCCCTGGGGAGTAAAGCAGCTGGGGCATGAAGCTGACCACTTACCTCTAAATAGTGTCAAGGTCAAGAAAATATGAATCTATACATCCATTCCTTCATGACACAGTGCTTAATTAGTTAATCATAGGGACAACTTTACTTTTTTTACTTCAGTGTTACGGACTTTAAGAGTGCTATAACTGTAAAGTACTATGAATAACTCATGAACAGTGTCATAATAATTTTCACAGACTTCAATGCTCACTTCTGCTACATGGATACCATTATGTCTCTGGAAGTGTAAGTGCAAAGCAGTTTTACATTATGGTGCTAAAGAAGATAAACTTAACAGTATTCTGCTTTTAAGTTAAAGAAATACAAACATCAGAAGATAGTAAAAGAAGTTATCTGTTAATATGAAACAGTGCATCTTAGTTAATACTGTTCTGAGCTACATCAAGCAAAATTGTTCCTAAACTGAAAAATATAATTCTCTTTTGTCATTTTGCCCTGAAAATTTTCTTTTTAAGGGGGTTCCAAGACACAACAAAAGATTGTGAAATATTCATACAAATAACCATAGTGATTCTATTCTTTTAGGACCCTTCTTTCTGTCAGCACTCTTGACTCATCCCTCCCTCACTGTGGCATATTCTTACAGTGCATTTTTGCTGGGGCTTATTTGGAGGCTGTTGTATTTTTTCCATTATAAATCATACGATAATGTTGTGCATCACTGTATGATAAAATAACAGACAATTCAACTGGAAGGCATATACTGGTGAATCCATTTGCGCTTACAGATCTCAAGATCATATTTTATATCAAAATAATTTCTTAACTTTAGATAATACAGAAGAAAAATATGAAAGGACTGTGACAATCCATGCACCACCTCAGGCAGTTCTGGTATGAAAGAAACACTTAATTTTAATGAAAACTGATGGTCAAAATGAAGGTTTAAACATTTTCTCATGCACACTTTCATAGGCATTACTAAGTTTGTCAGTAACTTAACACTTTAATTTTAAAATCAGAACCTGTGTTTTTCTATATGCATCAGTCACATATTTCCTTACATAAGTGACATCAAAGTTTTTGCTTTAAGAACTGAGTGATAAAGTTCCAACATTTCTATCATAAAATCAGTGAATGTAGAGCAGCCTGGATAAATTATAATCTCAGTATTTGTAAGAATTTCTTTCATGTCATCTGTAATGTGAACCAAACTGAAGATATTATTGTAATATTTTTAAATCACAGACAAACAATTACGTAATTAAAAGCCTTTTAATACTCCAGTGGTTAAGGGCCAAGTTGGAATTCAACTTGAAAATGCTGAGAAAGAGCTAGAAATCCTTAACCTAGCTGGTACATAAACAGATGTCTGAAAGGCATTACACCCACGTGTAAATTCCAGTTCACATAATAAACATAACTAATTCTGGACCAAGGCAGCACCATAGCTCAAGTGGTTAGTTGCTGGCTTCCCACTGTGGTGGCCCGGGTTCGATCCCGAGTCTGGTCAAGTGGGATTTGTGGTGGACAAAGTGGTGCTGGGGCAGGTTTTCTCTTGAGTACTTCGGTTTCCCCTGCCAATCTTCATTCCACCAATTCTCCATCATCATAGCACCCAGGGCAGGCTACAATACGCCAATCAGTGGCCGCCATGCCAAGTGGACCCAGTTGGACTCCACCCACCACTAAGCGAATTAAAAAAAAATCTGGACCAACATTTCATATTAAGTCATTTAACCTGAAATATTAAAATGAATTACTGTAATTACCCTACAGTCTATCCAGAATCTTGGTATATGGAGACCTGCAAGAGTGAAGTCAATTAAATTCACCATCAAGGCAGAAACTGCAGAAGCAATAATTATTACAATGACATGACTGGCCTCTCCATGTTCACTGTTTTTTTCAAGGATTAATTAAAACTCGAAACTCAAGAGATGATGATATGTTAACAAGATGATCTGCCCATTGGTTATCTGCTTTTCTATGTTACTGCCCAATAGATACCAGCTATTAGATACAGGTGTTCAGTATTTTTCCTAATGGATTAAGGTTTAACAGCTGAGCGCTACTTACTATTTAGCTCTAACAGAAAAAATATGTTAATGTTCATAATACAGGGAAAGATTTTTGGCTGGAGCTGGACCTGGAAGGAATTTTATCAAGTCCACAGTAAAAGACGTATTTTACAATTAGTCAGCTGGCCAAAAAATTCTACAATTTTAATATTTTAGTATTCCTTTTGAAAAATATAGTTTCTGGTTATAATAACCTGAAAGCTGAAGCTCTTGAATACATTATGACCAAACAGTTTATGCCTGCACCATACAAGTGCAGGAGATACAACTTCCATGGGGTACCTCTTCACACAAAACTTACAGGATGTACCAGAGATGGTAGGGACAATATTGAGCACTTTATCAAATACTGTAAAATTATTGGATTGAAATCTGTAACTTATGAAGCTTAACTTATTTATGAAGACAGAACAGATAACTAACACTAACAAATTCAGAGCTCTAATAGAGTAAGACATGAAGTATATTTTCAATGTATGCATCTATTTTAACAGACTACATCTTCTATTAATATTTTCATGCTTAACTGGAATGGTATTGACTGTTTGCAGCAATAATGGTGACAGTGATTCATAAAAGAATACTAGCAAAAACTACAAAAATGAGAATAATTTTGGTGAGTAATTTGTAGTACTTCTTCCTTGTGCAGAGAAAGATGAAAATTAATGTTACTGCAAAAAGGCTTAAAAAATAATTTCCCCTTTTTGTTATCTCAATTGTATGGGCCTAACAAATGAAGATGGGGAATTTCTGGTACAAATTTTGCTTCTGACCTCATAATAGAAGATAACGGAACTAACAGTCTTCCTCATCATCACTTCAAGAATGACTAGAAGAAATGAAACACTGCTCTCCCTAAGAGCAGATAATATTTCCAACTTTGAAAGACCCTAATGTCTCTGGCTCTCCAGTGTAACAGGTTCATAACCATATTAATTTTTGTGCACTCTGTGAACTCAATACATAAAATGAATGCAGAATGAGGTGATAATGTCTATGTGTTCAATTACCCAAATCACTTACTGATCTTGAAAAAATCTGGTATAGAGGTCTACTACAAAAGTTATACAAATTTTATTTCGATCCATATGGTCTACTATAATGCCCAAGTTTGATGATGGCAATATCTGGTGTCTTATACGCAAATTATAATTTCAAATTTCTCAAAAATGGCTCAAAATGGGTATGACGTATAAAAGGTATCTATCACTATTAAGAAAATATTAACTAATGACATATGAAAAATTGCAAATAAATTAGAAAACTTTGCGTAGTCCAATTACTCTGCAATTATGATGCTTTCATAGCATTCATAACGGCACTTTAATGAAACACTCTAATGCAATATTTCATGTTCAAGTATTTTAGAAATGCAGCATCAGGAAGAATGAAGAAGAAAATAAGTGCATTCAACTGAGATGCTCTCTTAGAATATTCTGAATGCGAGACAGACATATTTCCATAGAGCTGACTCAGATAAAGGACTGTAACCATTCCTGCTGCTAGCTGCAATGCGAATTTTCCAGTATGTTAACATAGTGTAATCACGAAGAAAGCAGTCTTCTGGGATTTGGCACCGTGTATATGTGGTGTTAACCGACGTTTCGGAGGAGGTGATACGTTCCTCCGAAACGTCGGTTAACACCACATATACACGGTGCCAAATCCCAGAAGACTGCTTTCTTCATAGTCACCGCCGTGAAAGCCTCAAATCTTACATAGTGTAATCACATTGGAATTGATGTTTACATAGTATCAGTATCAGTAGTATCAGTCAAATGTTACATACTGATAAGGGTGTAATGCCAAAAATATGAAAATATTTCTTGTTACCATTTGGTTTAGGCAAAAGCAAAAAATAATTAGTTACTATAGGATTCTGATGATGGTGTATAACACACTGATATATTGGGTTTTCGGACTTTATCCATCGTCCTGGTTTTTAAGATAACTAATAAAAACACGACGTTTTGGAAACTGGATCTGTTTCCGTCCTCAGGTGAAGGAAAACACCTATTGTTGGGTCCGTTAGAAAGAGCTATCACTGCTCCAGTGATTGAGGCTAGCTCTTTCTAACGGACCCAACAGAATAGATGTTTTCCTTCACCTCAGGACGGAAACAGATCCAGTTTCCGAAACGTTGTGTTTTTATTAGTTATCTTAAAAACCAGGATGATGGATAAAGTCTGAAAACCCAATATATCAGTGCAAAAAATAATGTAAATTCAGTCACTTACAGCATATATGAAAGTATTCATAACAAAAATCTAAGCAAGCGAAAAACTGTTCTTACCTCTTTCCTGCAACTTTATAAAAATGGAGGTACAAACCCTTCAATTCTCAGTTCTAGACTTTTTTAAAAATGTAACTATGTTAAAGATATTAAACCAGATTGTAGTGAGATTAGTAGACTTATGAGGAAACTGAAACCACAATTACTGATGAGTAATTTTACACCAGTGTACACTTATTACAAATGGAATAAGAAATGATGACAAACACACTGTCCATGTAAATACCAATGTTTACAAACTATAGCAACAATGTATTTCTGAAATTACCATGTATGCTTCAGCATTTTTCTTATTTTATGGAACGGAAATTTTTATATCCAGATAACTTAGAATTACATTTGAAAGCAAGTGTCCTTCCAAAGCCTTCCAGTATGGTGCATACACTTTTCACAACCAAAATTATTTAGCCTTCCAGTATGGTGCATACACTTTTCACAACCAAAATTATTTAGCCTTCCAGTATGGTGCATACACTTTTCACAACCAAAATTATTTAGCCTTCCAGTATGGTGCATACACTTTTCACAACCAAAATTATTTAACAAACACACAAAAAAAACATGTACAAGTAAGAGATCAAGACAACTGATATACTATTTTCAGTTTCCCAACATAAATTCAGTTTATTGTCCTGCAGAAGTGAAACTGGCACACATCAAGACTGATTCATAATATATACACAACAACTTGCAACCATATTCATGTATACAATGCCAGATGCTGCACGCAATCCATGCCAACTTTGACTTCTCAGCCGTAAAGCAAAGTTTGCAAAAATGTTATTGTAATGGTTTCAAAACCTGTTAATATGAGGACCAGATTAAGGATATATAGGCTGCAGTTAAAGGAAGAACTAGAGCTATAATATACTCGTATGTATTGGCATTCATTTCATTTGGACTTCTTCACACATTACTATTATTCTGATTTTGGTTGTGATCATATGATCCTTACTTTTGTGATTCAAGTATCAGTACACACATGCTTTCTCTGCAGACTAAACCAAATGGTAAGATAGAGATATAACTTAATTGTCTTAGGATCTCACAATGTTAGGAGTCCAACTATAAACAGAAGGCAGGTTTACCAGCTTTAAGAAACTTCTTAGATACACAAGTCATCAATGTGTATATTTTTGCAAAACAAATGATGAGGAAGGTATTCTGTCATTGACAATTACATTTCTAGCATAAGACAAATATTACTTTCTTTGTATGTGTTTAGCTGTATTAAAATATGGGTAGCATAATATGAAATCCAAAAATCATTCTGTCCCTACTGACATGTACTTGAAAATAAACAAACAATGACCTCATGAACAGTGAATTTTATTATAAGGTTTCCCTTGAGATTTCCCACAATAGATAATACAATGATGAAGAAAATATGAGGAATACTGATGTGATATTTCATATGCACATCCACCATTTCTAATAACAGCAGCCACAGAAAATTTTAGAATACAGGACAGAAACAGCATGAATTCCTTTTTGCACAGTCATACTTGATAACATTGTGCATCAGAGTTACACTAAATCATAGTGCTGCTTCTGCATCTGTCAGAAACTTTATCATATCTGCTGTAGAATAATTATTAAATGCTTCATTTCATATTCCAATAATATTTAAAAATAAATAAGAATTTAATCAAATTCTATAATATAAATTTAAATTTCTGTTGAACATATCTGTATCATACACTGCAAGAAAGTAATCCATTCAAATCTTACATGTGCAAACATTAAAGTTATGTCATGGAAATTTACTACTCAAACAATAGCAGTATTGGGATCACACCTAAACAGTGGAAATTATATTACTGTACTGTACATTTCAAATGAAACAAAGTGACTTAACTACTGCAGGCCCTCTCCCTTTGAGTTTGGCAGCTAATAAATTCTTGTGACCTTAAATCCAATAATCTGACCTCTCACTATTTCCACTGAAAATTCATATTAGACTTCTGTTTAGTTGTAGATGGAAGTGCATTAAGCCAATAAAATGAAATGAAGTATTTTGCATAAAAACATACCACATGCATGGCATTACACTGTTTTAAATTCTGTAAAACAGAAAATCATGTAGATTCTGTTGATAATGGCCATGTACCAACTGTCATCTCAAATTTTTGCCTGATCTTAGGATGAAGAAATTTGCATACTCTTGAGAGACCGATGGAAAAAAGGATCTTCCAAATAAAGAATCATTATGCATAAAAATATATTATGCAATTTAACACACAAAAATTAAATCCTCTTTAGCTTCACTAGGTTCTCTGATATACAAAATATAATAATTAAACAATCAAAATTGGTAACAGTACACACCACTGTAAAATAACAAATAAAATAAAAATAATATAAAATCAGAATTTATGTATACTCCAGCATTCAAAATTTCAAAACTAAACATTGGTAACAACCTTCAATCAGCCTAATATGTGCCAATTCCATGAAAAACAACGAATATTACAGTCACCTATTGGTGATGATATAAAATGTAGGAAGAGGATAGGGGGGGAGGGAAACAGAATCCCATGACTGAGGTAACAGTGGTGAGCTAACAACCATTGACATGCGGATCCTCCTACCAAAATATGAACACTTTGCGGGTTTAGTTGGTTTCTGAGAGTCCTTCTATTGCTCTACCATGCAGGAAGATGGACACATAATATCACAGCTGGCTCGAGGTTCAATCACTGTCTGTTTCCTTGTGATCTGGGTATCGTAAGCTCTTCTAGTTTGCAATTCCACCACCTTCACAAGTGGTAACACCACAAGCAACAGGTCAAAAGCACCTCGAATGGATTAAATACTTGACACACAGAAAAGTCACCTTGCACACAAAACAACCACACCATTATATACATGACCTAATGGAACCACATATATGTATATTGAAATGCAATTTCAGTATAGTTATCAGTCTCTTTAAATTTAACTATATATGAACCAGAAACAGGCGGGAATACAAAATCTGGGTCTCTCTCTCCTAGCAGTGCAAATTAAAACGTATGTACAGTTCTTACAAAAAGTAAAATAAAAAAATTAGTATTATACAACTCCAAATAAATACTACATTATGGAAAAAAACTTCATAATTAATTTACATAATATACACAACATACTGACTTAAATTTATTACTCAAAAGTACTTTTGCCAGAAACATATGTTTTTATTAGTTCCAGCACGATGACTTTATATGCCAATGTCGGACTGGAAAGATGAAGTTACATAATAAAGAGAATGACAACCATGATCAAGAAGGCTACAGCAATATAACAATTTCTACCTGACAACACATTGACTTGGTTTTCCTGAGATTTGGCTTGAAATAAAACTCAAAGTCAAGACTCGGAGGGAGCATAATCCTTGTCCTGGTGGAGAACCATGGCACGTCCAGATGTTGCAGCTGTCGCTGTTGCCAGACTCACTCCTCCACTCCCACTCACCAGCTTCAATGGGATTGACTGACTATTCCCACTGTTTTTTGACTGCAACTGGATCTGACTAATTACCTGAAGAACAGTTCCAATTCATGTAAAATATGCACATGTTCAGGACATGATATTGGACAGTATCTTCAAACTTCAACTTACCTGTGAGCTTAGTACAGGAATCTGTTGGAAAGTGACAGGTCCAGTTGTCAAATATGTTATCTGAGGTGTGGCCAACTGAACTGTACTGGGAGTTGTAGCTATCCGAACATTCTGAACATTTGGAGAGACCGCTGCAAAAGGGAAAAGTCAACCACACTCTAAAAGATCACATACCAAAGAACTCCTGCTCCTTGTAATATTTTGTACTTACTTTACTCAATATTTTCTCAACTTCACAGATTATACAATACTAAAACGGAGAAGTAAGAATGATACAGCTACAGCTTATTTTATGTATGTATGTAAGGGGTGGGCCATAAAAACTGGCCCCTTCAGTTTATTTTAAAGTTGCATTCTAGCATCTTTCTGGTAAGAAGCCTGAGGAAAATAATGAGAAACCCAGTCGAGGCAGTCAATCTCAAGGCCAAAATCTGAATATGAGAGAGGCTGCCAATTACTATTATATGAGGGTCATACTGAAGGTCATGAGCAACAATTTTTTGTAAAGTAACATGCTTTATTACTGACAAACCAAATACACCACCTCAATCTACAGACCTTTCTCTATTTTTCCACATAATCACCACTTCTTTGTACACATTTCTCCCAGCGTTCTGGGAGTTTGAAAATTCCCCTTCTGTAAAATTCTGTTCCAGCCATCTGAAGACACTGATGCACTGCTTTCTGAATTGCCTCCCTTGTCTCAAAACGTTGTCCACGCAGCTGATCCTTCACAAATCCGAAAAGATGGTAGTCAGAGGGTGCCAGATCAGGGCTATAGGAGGGATGTGGAAGAACTTCCCACCCCATCTTTGCAATTGCTTCCAATGTGAGGTGAGGGGCGTGGGGGCGAGCATTGTCACGCAGGATGATGATGTTTTGTCCCAGACATTTATCGTGCAATGCACGATGGAGCTTGTGCAGCATCTGGACATAACAAGCAGCAATGATGGTTTGCCCAGGTTCCAGGAATTTGGCCAGAATAAACCCCTCTGTATCCCAGAAGACTGTGCCCATCACCTTTGCAGCTGAAGGCACTGTCTTTGCCTTCTTTTTTGTTGGAGAATGCAAATGGTGCCATTCCATACTCTGCTGTTTCGTTTCAGGCTCGAAATGGTGAAACCAGTTTTTGTCACCTGTCACAATACAGAGCAAAAAATCATCGCCTTCGTGTCGATATCTCTGCAGCAGTTCTGAGGTGATGGCTTTTCGCTGACCTTTGTGGTCTTCGGTCAATAACCGTGGGACCCAACGAGCACAAACTTTCCTACAGCCCAAGCTTTCAATCATCTCCTGTATTGCACTGTGCCCTATTCCAAGTTTTGGGGCTATTGTGTCCACAGTCACACACCTGTCATCTTGAATGATCTCATCCACTCTTTCCTTGTTGTGTTCAGTTGAGGCTATTTGAGGACGACCACTCCAAGGCTCATCTTCGATGCTAGTGTTCCCATCTTTAAAATGTTTCACCCATCTTCAAACACTGCTCGCACCCATGCACACTTCCATAAGCACGCTGAAGTCTCTGGTGAATTTCTGCAGCAGGGATTTCCTCTTTCACAAGAAATTTGATGACAGCATGCTGGCAAAATGACATATCATTGTCAGCCATTTTGTTAGGAGTGATACTGGTCATGTGATGCAAGCTACTGATGTCACAAGACACTCAAGGTTAACACAATAGCTGGTTCCACCTACCACTGCACTCTCTTTCGTCTGCTGTTCCTAGGTTGCATGCAAAAAAAAGTTGCTCATGACTTTCGGTACGACCTACGTATATTCATGTCTAGTATAGTTAGGTCAAGGAGGTTACAATGGGTTGGATATGAAACTTGGCAGAGAAATAAGAAGTGCATACAAAATCTGTGGAATGAAGCCCCTCAAAACAATGCTATCTGTAATACCAAGACAAAGAGATAAGTATATTATTAAAACTGGTCTTCATAAAGCAGATACTGAAGTGAGGACTGGACTAAGCTGGCTCAGAATCAGATCGACTGGCAGGCTTTTGTGTAACCTGTGTTGAATCTTTAAGCTCTAATGTCTGGAAGTTGGTTTGTTATTGTACTGGACTAATGCTTACCAAAATTTTTAAACTGATATAAAAGTGGTAAAAGAGATGAACTTAAATATCACATATGGAAGGCATAGAACTAGTAGCAGAGGATGTTAAGGAACTGTGGTAATTAAGAAGTGTAGTGACATGTACAGGGGGTGGACAAAATAATGCAAATACTAAGAAATTGAGGAATGTAATTTGTGTTGGGGACATTGAAAGAAATTCAGTTGGCAACACTGAATGCTGTTCTTCCATTTGTTTACACTCTGTAGTGCTTGTGTAAGTTCATTAGTGATTGAGTAACAGTCCATGTGAAAGAATTGGAAAATAGAAGACTTGTCTGATTTTGAAAGAGGACAGATATGTTTGTGCATGTTTAGCTGGAGCATCTGCAACAAAAGACTGCCACATTATTAAGTGCATCAAGAGCGACGGTTTCTAAGGTTATGTCAGCATACACAACATCACTGAAGAGGAACAGTAGGTGAGAAACAACACTGACAGAAACAGGTTGTTGTATACTGAGGACTGCAGCACAGGTGACAGCAGAAGTGAATATTCATCTTGAGGAAGATTGCGTTTCCACAAAAACTGTCCAATGTGAGCTTCACAAACCCAACATCCACAGTAGGGGTGTAATTGCTAAACCCTCTGATTACTCAAAGTAAAGCTCAGATGTGTAAACGATGGTGTCACAACCATAAAACCTGGACATCAGACAACTGGAAACATGGATTTGATATGATCAGATGTCATCCTTCATGCTTTCTCTACAATAGGAAGAGTTTATGTTTGAAAATCCAACTTCCACATTAGGGCTGTAACTGCTAAACCCTCATAGTACTCAAAGTAAAGCTCAGATGTGTAAATAATGGTGTCACAACCATAAAATCTGGCCATCAGACAACTGGAAAAGCACATGTGATATGGCCAGATGAGTCATCCTTCATGCTTTTCCCTATATCAGGAAGAGATCACGTTTGGGGAACACCCAAGGAAGCCTACAATCTTGAATGCCTGGTTCCAATTGTGAAACATGAAGGAGGTTCTGTGATGATTTGGGCAGCAATATCATGGTACAGCATTCTGTTGGCCCCATTATTATGCTTAGCCAAATCACAAGAGGGTATGTCAACAGGCTGTGTAATCGGGTGCATCCCATTATCCAGACGTTATTTCCAAACAATAATTCAGTTTTCCAAGATTATAATGCCCTCATTCAAACAGCTGGAACTGTTAAGTCATGGTTTGAAGACCATTAAAGTGAACTTCAGCATCTTCCTTGACCAGCACAATCACCAGATTTGAATAGCAATGAACCGCTGTGGTCAGTTTTGGAGACTAGAATGAGGAACAGATTCCCACCTCTAGCATCTCTAAAGGAACTTGAATATGTTCTTCAAGAATAATGGTATAAAATTCTGCTAGAGACTGTTCAAAACTTCTACGAGTCCATTTCAAGAAGGACTGCAGCTGTTCTGAAGGTCTGTTCTGTGGTCCAACACCATATTAATAAAGAAATGTGTAAAGAATCTGTACTGTTCCCATTATTCTGTGGACAAAGCAGAAAATAATGTGAAGAATAAAGCAGTCTTTATTGTAGTGTCTCTGAAACACTGGAATGTAACTTGTGTATTGTGTGAAATTTAGAATCTGTACTGCTCCCATTATTCTGTGGACAAAGCAGAAAATAATGTGAAGAATAAAGCAGTCTTTATTGTAGTGTCTCTGAAACACTGGAATGTAACTTGTGTATTGTGTGAAATTTATACCATGCTTACTTATCAAAATTTCACTGACTTCCAAGTATTTCTGTGCTGATATTAGCACATCCCCCAAACACAGTATTACAATGGTAATATATAAATATGAAAAGGTGAAGATCTAAATAATTAATTTCCAAAATGAATTTCTGTTACGTCTTGCAAGACTCTTATCACTAAATTAAATGCTTACCTTTCACATTTGTTGCATTTATTGTGCCATCTGAAATCTGATTTAAATTACTAGATGACATTCCTTTTGGAAGATCTGTCCGCAAGGAGTCTGAAGTGACCCCTCCCCGTGAACTTAAAATGTTCTTAGATTCACTTGTATCACTCTGACTTGATGTTGTGCCACCTGCCAACCCATTGGCAATGGCTACAGTCACAAGTGGCACATGATTTCCCCTTCCCCCTAAACGGCTGTTCTTTCTTGCCAGCAAGCTGCCGATGATCTCTGCAGGGTTCACATTTTGGGCATGTTTCCGTTTCGTTCGTTTCGAATTTGTATTCCCACCTGACTTGGATGAATCTACATGCCTCTTGAGACTGCCACTCAGAATGTTTGGAATGTGGAACTGTCCATTCTTGATGGTATCTTTATTACATGTTACATTGTGATTTAAGGTTGTTTTGAGTGTCAGATGTTGTGGCATTGGCAATGCTGCTTTAAGAGCACCAGGGATTGTGACAGTGGCTGAAGAATTATGCTGAGATTGGGTGGGAATAATGGGTATTTTGTGATTTTTATTGGACAACCCAATACCAGGAAAAATTATCTTTCCACTTGAGTTAAGGAAGTTTCCCTTCGTACAAATGTTTGTAAGAACTGTTTTGATGGTTCCTGCTGCATGGTTTGTGCCTGTATTTCCACAGAAATCACTACTGAGTGGTGACCTGATTGGACCATGTGCTAGTGCTTCTCGCAGACCTTCACGAACCACTTCCAATCTACGTGAATTACACACTAAAGTTCCTACTTTACGTCCAGAAAATGAACACACCTGCAACAAAAGAAAACACTATACAATTTTTCTGAACAAATATATCAGAGTACTGACATACAGTGCTCAGAAAGAGAACACAGAAGTGGCATAAAATATAATATCCAAAATGTGTGTGCACGCACACATACTTCTATTTTTATGCTATTAATGAAACAATTTCCCTCATGTCAAGATTTAAATTATATAGAAACTGAACGCATTTCTTTGCATATAAGATATACAAAGAAGTGAACTCTTGTTTAATGTAGAGATACACTGAAGTTCCTTTGGAGTGAAGAGGGCCATTAATGTAGGATTTGACATTCTCAAAGTGGTGTTTAAGAAGATTTCTATCTTCTGAGATGTAACACTGTAGTTCATTGAAAGTCAACTGACACTTCAGAGGTGACATGTTCCTCCAAAATGTAGGTTGACTTTCAAGGGACTATGTAGCATTATATTCCAGAGGACAAAACTCTTTAGGACCATTAATCTTCCACAAAAAAAATTCATTTTATTTTGGAACTGTGTATGAGAATCTAAAACAAACAACAAAAACAAATTCCATGGTTTTAGTCTGCAAGCTAACTATACTGACTGACCGACCAAGTGACTGCCGGTTGTCGGCAAAGTTAGTGGCAACTTTAGCATATAGAGGGTTTCGCATAGTCAGCGCAACGAATCTCCACGGCCGTTTATTTTGGTTTTCTAGACCGTAGCCGCTATTACCTTGAAATAGCTCCTCAATTATCCTCACGAGGCTGAATGAACCTTTTCCAGACCCAACACTTCGCAGAAAGAATCTGGTAGTGCCAGGAATCGAACCCGGACCTCTGGATCTGTAGACAGGAACTCTGACCACTAGACCACACAGGCAGTCTGTATGAGAATATATGGAGTGTATTTGTGCCCATGTTGACTGGCACCTGGTTACCATGGCATGGTATGGCCTCTCTGCAGCCTTCATACACATTAAGTACCAGTATGCAGTATAAGCAGCTGTGACCGTCTTACACGAGATGGTAGTCCAGCTTGGAAGTATGGCATAGGCTACTTAACTCATTCTCCCTCTTACATATATATATATATATAGTATTCCCTGAATAACTGCCAGTGATTTGCCATTATGGAACTTGAATTCTCTTGACCACAAAAGCTTATCCTGAACCAGTTAAATCTATTTGTTCCAACATCTCTATCTGCAAGATGTTTTACTATTATCCTCTAGTCCATATCTCAAGTATCCTGAGTGGGCTTTATCCATAAGGCTTTCCAATCAAAATGTTTGCATTCTTGTTTACTCTACATGCTATATATCTGGCCAAGCTCATCCTCAATTCAATCACCCCAACAATACTATGTAAAAATTATAAATTATGAAGCTCCTGGGTATGACATTTTTTCTGTCATCATCATACTTTGATATATTATTGTATTTTTTTTTTAAATACCTCACAACACTATTGAAACAAAAGAAAAAACAAAGGGAAATAAATTTCATGAGAATGATGTAGTACACATGAACAGGAGTTCGAATTTTTGTTACTTAAAACTATTATGTCACATTCAGTCATTGTTCTGTAACTGTTATGAGATTGGCCGCATTTGGCTTTAACATAATAAAAAATTACTGAGTACTGCTTCAGTCTGTCTGGAAGTATGGTATGTAACTATGATGAAGAAAGTAATCTTTCTTACTTACTTATTCATGGAGCTGAGCCATTCTTGAGGAACTGCCAACTGTGCAGCTACTCAAGAATTTCCCAGAATTTTATGGAACCTGAAGGTTCATTACTGTGTTCACAAGAGCCCTCCACTGGTCCCTATCCTGAAGCAGATCAATCCAATCCATACCATCCCATCCTATCTCTTTAAGGCACGTTTCAATATTGGCTTTCCCACCAATATCCTCCCCCATTCATGCTACATGCCATGCCCACCTCATCCTCTTTGACTTGATCATTCTAATTACACTTGGAGAAGAGTACAAGTTATGAAGTTCCTCATTATGCAGTTTTCTTCAACCTCTTGTCAATTCATCTCTTTTCAGCCCAAATATTCTCCTCAACACCCTGTTCTCAAACACCCTCACATCTATGTTCCTCCCTTAATGTCAGAGACCAATTAATTTTCAAGGAGAAGTGAAGCTTAAAAAATTAAAAATCAAATGTGAAGTGGATAAAGGAATGAAGATATATGATGTACTCACAAAATATAGTATTAAATGATCACCAATCTCTGCATTTCCTGCAATAAGGACTCCTGCTGCAGTAACCAGACAACTGTAATTTCCTGCATGAAATTGTTCACATGCAAGGAAACAAAGCAAAGGGAAGTGGTGAAAGGCAGAAATCAAACCAGTAGAAAATATGCATTAGGCCTGAAATTTAATGATTACAGATCACGTTTCTATTGTGAATGACTTGGATAGAAATATGATACTTATATTTGATAGCAACAGTTTAATCTGTGAAATCTATGTTCTCCAATTTTAGTTACAGAAAATTCTTGATTCCTGCATTATTACTACTCTTGTCACTAAATGTTTATAACTCTTTCATTTGTGTTTTTCTTTTATTTACAATGTGTACCATGACACATCATCAGGATGTGCATCAGGATGCAATGAATGCAAATAGTATGATTAAAGAGTAAAAGAATTAGGTTTTGGATGAGACTTGATGTTTTAACACACCATCTGTATATTAGTATATGGGAGGGTGGAACTCCTAGGCTGATTAATTTGAAAATCACTTATAAATCATTCTTTTTCTTTACAAATTTTTACCTTTACTATGGTGGTGGCAATGGTTGAAAGTTATTGCTGTAGGTATATTTTTACACCCAGAAATGATACTCAGTACACCATTCCAAGCTTCTGGCCATTAAACACAGAATTTATAGTTATATGTTAATTCTGTGACCGCCTCTGTGGTCTAGTGGTCAGAGTCCCTGGCTACAGATCCAAAGGTCCGGGTTCGATTCCTGGCGCTACCACATTTTTTTCCAAGAAATAGTTGGTCTGGAATGGGGTCCACGCAGCCTTGTGAGGATAACTGAGGAGCTATTTCAAGGAAATAGACGCTCCGGTCTAGAAAACCGAAATTAACGGCCATGAGGATTTGCTGCGTTGACCATGTGATACCCTCTATCTGCTAAAATAGGCATTAACTTTGTTGACAAGCAGTGGTTGCTCGATCGGTATAGTTCACTTGAGGACTAAAACCACGGAGTTGTTTAGTTTATGTTAATTCTGTGGAGCAGAGTCCTTCTTGAGAAGCCAACGGTTGCTCAGCTGCTCAAGAAATTCCCAGCATTTTATGAAATCCGAAGGTTAATTACCAAGATTGTATGTGCCTATAACCAGGCCCTGTCCTAGGCAAGATGAGTTCAATCCATATCATCCCATTCTCTAAAATCAATTTTAATATTATCCTCCTATATCTAGGTCTTTAAAGTGGTCTTTTTCCTTCAGATTTCCTACCAAAATTTTATAATCACTTTTTTTCCGCCTATATGTGTGCTACATGCTCTGCCCATCTCATTCTCCTTGACTGGATCATTCTGACAATGCTTGGAGTATAAATTATGAGGCTCCTAAATATGCACCTAGGAAAGTGTTCTGACTGGAAAAACAAATGCTTCTATTAAAGAAGTATATATTTCAAATTAAAAAAACTGAAGATTTTATAACAATCTGATATCTGTTATAAAAAACCCAAAATATTTTGATGTCACAATACAGTGAATGTGTTAACAGAAATAAAAACTTAAAAATTAGTTAATACCAACCAGCCATCACACATTTCACTGTGGGCATAGGTACGTTATCTTAAACTAATGCGGATGAAAAAGCAAATATAAAAATTGAATGAAACCTCCATATTGTGAAATTCCCAGAACTTAAATTGACTGTTAAGGTGGAATTTAATTACTTCGCTGTACTGCAGCTTGCAGTGATCCACAATTTTCTTGTTTAGGAGGCTTTTGTGTAGATGTATAGAATTTGCTATGATATAAATATGTGAAGTTCACATGACCACATTCAACTCAAATAAAGAAACTTGCTAGCATAAGCATAAAGTGTTACTCACAGCCAATGGGCGTGGATGATTCTTCAACCAAGTTACATCTTCAAACAGTGCAGGGAAATTGCACATCTGAACAGCAGGGGTGACAGCGTGTACTGATTGAAATGCATGTGTAGGATGTGGAAGAGAAGTAGCTGGTATAGGAGCCAGCATGGATATTCCTTGTGTGGCAGAAGTGGGGGAAATGGATGCAGTTGAGGCAGACACTGGAGACTGAGAAGAGGGTATGGTACTAGCTGACAGATCTTTCAGTGGTGTGGGAACAGGCGCACAGGTACTGTCCACATCTGTGTTTATAGGTATTGCACTAGATGGAGTCATGCCTGGGGACTGTGGGGAAGCTGGAATATTGTGAAAAGTGGGCCCTGTAATAGGCACTGGAGAAGGGGCTGGTGCACCTGATGGGATAGGAACAGTCACTGTCGTTATGGGTGAAGGAGCCCGCACAGCTGTTGCAGCTGTCACTAATGGCTGTGCCAAAGGAGGTCCAGGAGAATGTCCCAGTCCAGACATATCTCTCATCTTTGACACTGTGCTCAACAGAGGTGCCTTCAAAGCAGGGGCCGGCACTGTATGATTCTCAAATGTGTCGATCGTGAGATCAGGTATGGAGGGCAGAGGTGTGGTTGTAAGAGTGGCAGACACAGATGCATTTGGAGCAGAATTCAAATTTATGACTGAAGAAGACATTGGGATAGACAGAGATGTGGGCAGGGCAGAAGAAGGGATATCTAACTGCATGCTTCCACCAACACGTCCGGGTGGAAGGGGTGACAAGGCCTGGTTTGCATCTATGTCCTGAGGAGATGACTGAAACAATGAAATGGAAAAATTCAAGTACCAAAAGTTTTAAGTGGTTGCAAAGAAGTAGTTTACTGAACACCTCATCATGGCACAATCTGAAATAGATATGCCATGAATTTCACGTTCATAACTTACAAGCTACCCATACAGTATTTTATTTTCTTCAGAAAATGGAAAATAATGACAATCCAATTTGTAGCAACTCTTCCTTACAATACACTGCCCAGCATTTAAGGTGTGGGAGAGTAAAAAATAAATTCCAAGAGACAAAGAGAAAACACATATCTTCTTCAGGTCTTCCAATCATTCTATACAAACACTTGGTTAGTACTCTCCTGAAAAATGAAATTAGTATATACAATGTATGTGTAACAAAATGATAAATCAGTCTCTGGTTTGTATCACAAACAGGACAAACAAATACATGCCAAAGGGTTTGGGTAATTTAAAATATGGAAGTAGTTGCAAATGTAAATGCAATATAAAACTGGCAACATCTATCCAAGCAGCTACTAAGTATTGCAGTATATGAAGACACTGTTCCTAAGAGGGAGGGTCAGTAAATAGTTCACAAACGGAAATAAAACAGCTGTAAGGGATGTAATAGGTTTTCTATGTGTATCACTAAGTAGCATCACAGTTCAGCTTCATGACAGTCTTGCCACATCTCTTATGGTATGTAGATGAAGAAGATATGCTTAACAGGATTGTTACTTGGGTTGAATCATGCGTGCATCACTATCAACCCGAAACAAAGCCTGCTTCAGTGCAATGAAAACATCTCAGTTCACCTTCAACCAAAAGTTTCAGTTATTCCATCAGCTGGGAACGTTATGCTTACCATGTTCTTGGATTCTCAGGTTGTAATGTTAGCCCACTTTCAGGAGCATGATGAAGATGTGAATTCTGCGTTGTACTGTGAAATTCTGTTGAAGCTTTGAGTTGCAATTCACAGAAAACATCCAAGCCAACTAGCAAGAGGGGTGCTGCTTCATCAACACAATGCCAGACCCTATACAGCCTGAACAACCCAGGAAAGAATTCAAGAACTACAGTGGGAACTTCTGGGCCTTAGAGCCCAGACTTGGACTCCAATGACTTCCATCTTTTTGGTCCACTAAAAACTGCCTTGGTGGCAAAAGTTTCACCGATGATGAAGAGGTTGAAACGGAGGTGCACAAGTGACTGAGACAGTAGGCAAAAAACCGCTATGCTGCAGGTTTCGATGCATTGGTGAAGTAAAATGGCAAATGGCAATAAAGTACCGCCATATGCAATATTCAACATAAAGACAGTGGCAAAAGTGAATTTTTGCAAAGGTGTTATAGTTCAGGCCCCCCCGCCAAATACATGGATGACATTTTAGTTGACGGCTGGCTTGGATGTGTATGGGAATGTTGGCCTGGCGTGTTATCAAAGCCATGGAATATGCTTGTAATGAGTGCATTTCGTGTCCATCTCTCCAACAGAATCAGTAATAGGTTAAGAAAAAGAAACACCAATCTAGTGACAATTTCTAGTGGCATGACAAGTCAATTACAACCACTTGACATGTCAATTAAGAAACCATTCAGGCATCTTGTCTGTAAATACTATGATGCCTGGCTGAATAAAGACAATCATATATTGACACCTAGTGGTAAAATAAAAACAGCATCAGCCTCACTAATAATGGAGTGAATATTAATAGCCTGGAAAGAACTGTCAGTCAAGATTATTCCAAAATCGTTTTTAAAGTGCTGTTTGTCTAATGTGGAAGATGGAAAGCAAGATGACATTCTTAGGGATGACAATGAACAAAGGGGCAAGGGTGCATCATCTTCAGAAAATGAAAGTGCAACTGAAGTATAACTGGACAAACTTTCTGATTAAATAAAAAAGACAGAAAGGTATGTGCATGTACTGCAATTCCATTTAATTCTGGTATATTTTCCACTACTGTTCACTTTAAATGTACTAAAAAATATTTTGTTATTTTAATTGATGTATTCTAAATAAATTCACTGAAATAAATGCTCCTTTCTAAATTTTTCCTAAAACCTTCATTTAAAAATTTCATGAATCTTAAATTCAAGGGCGCCTTATATTCAAAGTAATATGGTAAATGAAATAAACATATAACAAGAACACATTATATTAAAATGTTTCTGACTTCACGCAATTGGTTTACTTTCAAAATTAACACAAGAATTTAAAGCTTTTTATAATCTTTACCTGACTCAACACTACTGGAACTGTAGACATTGTCTTCACCAGTTTAATTGCTGCATCCTTGGTTGCCCGATGATCAGCCAGAAGTTTGTCAAAGCGTTTGCTGCGCCCTGACACGGCTCTTCTCATGGACAAGGGGTGTGACTTGCAAGTTAATGACCGTGTGCACGGCTTACTGTTCTCCCCATTCCACACCCCACAGTGCTTATCAGGATCATATTCTCTCTCCTTAACAGGTAGACATTTACGTTCCACTTTTGGCCGTTTCTTACAAGGACTGGGTGTTGAGAAAGAGGAAGAAGATATGTCCATCACCAAGCTTGGGAAAGCAGAAGTGGATGAGGCACTGGTAGGGGTTGTTGGCAATGAGCCTGATTTTGTTGCAGTAGGTGTGCTTGACATGTGAGTTGGCGAACTCAGTGGTGTAAGGGCTACTACAGGCTGTAAAAGAGTCATGGACGTTGATGATGATGATGATGATGATGATGAGGAGGAGGAATCCTCTCCGGAAGAGGAGGATGATGATCCTGAAGCTTGGCTAGGTGGCCGCAGAGGAACTGCATTACTGACAGAAGCTGAATGTTGAACATCTGAGTGTGGATGAGGAACTTTCTCTGCATCTGACAATGTAGTCTGTTCTGCCACATTAGTTGTTCCATGTTCCAATTTGGTGCATGGCGCAGTCAATGGTCTCTTTACTCTCAATTTTACACTACCTATATTAAGCCGGTTGCTTGCACCTCCTTTACTTGTCCCACTTTTACTATTAATAACTTTCTCAGGAGGTTCGGTAGGGGGTAAGGCATCTGTTGCATCTGCTTTGTGCCACAGCTCTGGAACACAACCCATTATTTATTACTATTAAACAACTGAATTATTACTATTATTAATAATGCTGCTACTGTTATATTTTCTTTCTACCAATGACCTAAAATTTTTTCATGTCATCAGATGTTCCAATGATTGTCTGTTTCTGCAACCTGATAACGGTTTTGTAAGTAACTGACTAATTACATGAAACTTAACATTTGCAAAACAAGGGTTGAGTCTCTTAGCAGGAAAATAAACATGCTCATTTATCTATATACTCTTCTTAATTCCCCTATATTGTGAATTGAAGATGTCAAATAAACTTTATTTTAAATATCACACTGAGGATTCTGTTTCACAATCCATGAAGCTGTTGGGCTTTACTCAAACAACTTCTTTAAATTTAATTAAATTATACTTCAGTATCTTCCTGAAAATGCGTGATGTTCCCAGAACAGACATTTTTTGAAAATTTACATTATACTGACAACAACTGTGTTATAACACAGCGCAGCCTGAACAACAGGACAACACAAGAGTCCTATTCACCAAATGACAGGACCACGAGGTGGTAGACACTCAACTTCCTTTAAAAAGAGGCAATATAAGACACGAACCAAATTGGTTCTAAAAATTTTAACAAAATCTTTTAAACCACACTTATAAACAGACTTATTGTAATAATTTATAAATATTTTAATGTATTCATGCACGTTGCTGTAGTTGTTAAAGGATCAAATTTTATATTCATGGAATTATAATGATATTGTATGTATGTACTGATATTGACCAAACACACTGTAATAGCAGTTTCTGCCTGTATTGATATATCCTTCTGAACATGGTCTCTAAGACCAAATTTTGTCAAGGATGAAAGATTAAAAAGGAAAGAAAGAAGAAGCATTTTATCAGTCACACTGGACGGAGCTGAGTAACATTTTATAATTCACTGCTCAAAGCAACACAAATCCACTTCCCCACTTCAAAACCTTTCATGCACTGTGCTCTTCTCAGAGGCCTAATGTGTTTGCAAGTCTAATGCCAAGTGAACAGTTCTTTTATGTGTATGTATAAGCATGTTTTGACATGAATGAGCATGCTCCAACCACAATGTCACTGTACTTGCTTCTGTCCTGCAACTTCCTGAAATGTGTATGTGTATAATGTAATAAAATGCATGAATATCTGAAAATGGCATGACTCTGAATGTTAACATGCAATCACACAATCAGCACGTAAGATTCAAATTTTAGCTCTTTGAGCATTCCATTTAAAAATCTTCTAATATCTGAACTCAGCAGTATTAATCAGGAATTTGTGAACCTTTTGCAAAAGTTATCTTTCTACCTTTCAAGGCCTGTGCAGTAGTATACTATGAAAGCATCAGTTTTCTGCATGGCAAAGAAGTAGATTCGTTGCATAAATATACATTATTAACCAGTCACATTGGACAGAACTATTTAACTATTTCATAATATTAGTGTGACGGATCAGAATAAAACGAAACAAATCAAATTTACATTACCAATTTCAACACACTGGAAAGCCGAATGGCTACACGGATATAAACTGAACTTTCCCAGATAAGTGTGAGCTAGAGTGATAATTTGTGTGGAAAGAATATGAGGGGAGGGAAAACTTCCAGTGGAGTGGATCAGATAAAAGATACACTTTTATTGAAGTCACATACCAGCTGCAGCTAATATGGTACTGACATTAGCAAAGTGCTCTAATAATATCCACAGTTACAGGCCTCTCCAACTTTCTGATACATGAAAAGGTGAATTAATTTACTTGTCAGGAGGGAATGCCCAAGAGGTAGGATTTCACTTACTCCAAATGAGCAGGAAATGATAAAGATGATATCCATTGATGGGACCAGCAGGTTAATGTGCACTTCAAACTCTGGTAAGAACGTGATATTCCCCACATCCACAAGGTTTACAAAAGAGCTTAAACTTGAAGGGTTAAACATATTTCTTCAGAATATTTGTCTTAAAAATTTTTCAGAATAAGCTACGAGTACTCACCCATGTGGTTTACTAGGCCCTGAGGTTTCACACAAGCCTCACATAGTTCACAGATGACAGCGTAAAAGCCATCTGTCTCAGGACATAACCCAAACAACCCCATGTCTGCAACAAAGAACCTTCAAGAGTTGTGCAGCCAATTTACCAACTTCCACACACTATCTCCAGTACATACATATTGCTAAATAGTATTCTGCATTTTAACTTGTAAGTCAACCCAAATATGATATGGCTGCTTCTTAGAGTAACTGACGGCACTGTTATTTTGTGGCCTGTTTTAAGGTAATACCACCTACCCTATCCAAGAAAAAAATTCTCTGTGTAAATAACTGCTGAAACTCAACTGCCTCTAAAGAAACTGAACCTCCATACCAGTGATACTTAAACTGTGTTACAAACACAGTGATTAAGCTGCCATTGTAGCATAAGATAAGTAAGACAGACATGGTCTGCTTTGTAAAGCCTGGTACAACAGAAGGCTTGTATGTACTGCACGAGGTAGAATTTTTCAATAACATGCTATACGTACGATATGTACACTTGACAAAGGCAGAGCCTATTCATAAGAGAATAATCCATCTTCTCATCAGAGAGGGTGTTGCATAAGAATTATGACCACAAGTGTTTAGAAGCAAAAAAAAAAAAATCCTCTCCTTGTAAGTCTCAAGGGACTTGACACCAAGCTGAACTGACTGGTAGCAAACCGCCAGTTGTAAAGTAACTCTGACTCTGGAGTGAGTGAGTGAGTGAGTGAGAGGCAGCAGTCAGTGTTAAGTAGAGTGGGAGTGACTAGTTATAATCAGACCCCTCCTCTTGTTTCAAAACATTTAAAAGTCTGGAAAGAAAAAAAATACAGTCATGGGTCCTGAAACCAAGAATGACTGTGCTGGCAAGGGCCAGCATCAATTTAATGGACTGGACTGGAGACAGTCAGTCAAGTGGGTTGAGAGTTGCTGTAGCTGAGGCCCAGGACACTTCAGAAACTCAGAGAAAGGGGAATGTCTGCTGCTGGAAGCCATTACCAGAAGACTGGTGAAGACACAGCAGGCTGAGAACACTTTAATGTGTGCTCTAGTGAACTATAAAGTGCATGAATTAGTGAAACGGTTATAATGACTTGTAGTTATGGATTGTGTCAGAGTTCAATAAATCCAATTACCAATCAAAAGCCCTTTATTGTCTGCAAAAACATTATCATCCTCTGATATAAAACAAGCATCACAAAAACATCATACTGGCAAGAGAGAGAGAGAGAGAGAAATATGCATGCGCACGCACGGGAGACTATCTGCTCCAAGCCAAATCCAAAATGTATATAAATGCAACTAATTTCACATCATTTATACACACCAACTTAGAGCTAGAAATCTGAGACAAGATACACAAAATGTGTGAGCATTATGGAAATTTACATCTCTTGAAGGCATAAATAAATTCTCTTCTTTTCTTTTTCCAAGAGAAGCAGCACCAACTGCCAACCCTTTGGTATACTGAACACAACTGTCTGTAAAATAGCATTCTCCATAAAAACGTGCAGGGAAAACTTTGGCCAACCCCTTGTAGCCTATGTAATTCTGTTGTGCTGTTCTTAAACTTCTTAGTTTAAGAAGAAAGCAGTCTTCTGGGATTTTGCACCGTGTATATGTGGTGTTAACCGACGTTTCGGAAGAACGTATCGCCTCCATCTTCAGGGTAGAAGAAAAATATATAAGAAATCTGCAAGCAAAGAGACCGTGAGAACCGGTAGAATTTAAGCTAGATTAGTTATGTACTCTGTGTGTGTGTGTGTGTGTGTGTTTAACCAAATGGTACCTTAACCAACTGAGCCACATCATCATCTGTTTAACCTGGATATGCAACAAAACAAAAAACAATTCTGGCCATTTCAACCTCTTCATCATCAGTGAAATGTCTGCCATCAAAGTGATTTTTTTAGTGAACCAAACAAATGGAAGTCACTAGGGTCCAAGTCTGGGCTCTAAGGTGAATGTTCAGGAAGTTCCCACTATAGCTCTTGAATTCTTTCCTGGGTTGCTCAGGCTGAATTGGGTCTGCCATTGTCATTTTGAAGCAGTGCCCCTCTTGCCCGTTGGCCTGGACGTTTTCTGTGAACCACACCCCAAAGCTTCAACACAACTTCACAGTACAATGCAGAATTCACATTTTCACCATGCTTCTGAAAATGGGCTAACAGTACTCCCTGAGAATCCCAACACATGGTAAGCATGACCTTCCCAGGTGATGGTGTACTTTAAACCTTTAAGTTGAAGGTGAACTGGGATATTTCCATTGCACCGAAGCATGCTTTGAACCGGGTTGGTAGTGATCCACCCATGATTCATCCCCAGTAACAATACTGTTAAGACATATCTTCTCTTTCATCTGCATACTGTAAAAGATATTGCAAGGACAGACCCATTACATTAATTTTTTCTTGATCCTTCAATTCTCTGGGTATCCATCATGCGCACACTTTCCAAAACTTCAAAGAATTTGCATTATGCTGTATGCCAAACCATTGGAACACACCAGTGCAGTTGCTAGACTGCTTATAATTATCCTGCTGTCAGCTCGAAACAACTTTTCCACCCACTGCAGCACAGTTGCTTCTGTTGCAATCACAACAGAGCAACCTGGACGGGCATCATCTGC